TCTTCCCTCCGTGGTACCCATCTTCCCTGCGTGGTACCCATCAACTGTGCGCGAATTCCCTGACTGGTACCGCAACATTTCAACCGAGCTGTACACCGTACAACAAGGGTGTCAATGCGTTTTTCACTATATTGTCTTAACGTTTACAAGCTCAATAGAGTCCGAAGCCCGAAGTGCCACATAATCGGGTCAAATTTTCAAGCGCATTACCTATAATAAAGTGTAGAAGAAAAGCTGAATTTAGGAAAACATTTATTGTGTAGATTTCTTTAGGCTCATAAACATCCACATTATAACGTGCTATAATTTAAATCACCACAGATATATTGCATCAACCGAAACACAAAAATTAACATCCGTGTAACAAACGATCAACTGACACGTAATATATATATTGACTTAAGGTTATTTGATTTTCATTAATGGGTATTGTTTTGTTTCCAGAAACCAACGAATGTACGTATTATTTGTTTATGCTTTTCTATTTAGCTGTGGGGGTACATGCTCAATTTATTTGCATACAACCTTATGAACTTTGTTCAGATTACCAACTGCGCGCTGAGAAACATGGTCGTAAGATTCACGCTACCTATCGCTCAGTGATGTGAGCTTACAAAGGTTCGGAGGTAACGTGAGGATTTTTGAAGGGGAGTTGATTTTTTCTAGGTTGCACTCTATCCAGTGTAAGGCATGTTCAAAGGTATTAATGTTCAAATGTACTAATGTTCAATCGCAGACAGAAAACGTTGGTATAATATAGTGAAAATCGCATTGAAACCCTTGTTGTACGGTGTACAGCTCGGTTGAAATGTTGCGGTACCAGTCAGGGAATTCACGCACAGTTGATGGGTACCACGCAGGGAAGATGGGTACCACCAAGGGGTGCGCATGATCTGACGGGTACCATCGAGCCACGTAGGTGACTTTTGACGTCAGCGGGCTCGATGTTGGTTACCCAGAATGTAATTACCCTAATATCTTCTGAGGAGCCTTGCTGTTTGAGGTGCGTGCTGTTGTGGGCGCTGCTGACGTGTGTAGCATTTGGTGGAGATCGCAACTCAACTGCCACTGAGTCAGTCAGACGTGGCTAGCTCGGATAGCCAAAAGGAGCGCGAAAAGTCAGCATTTCCCACCGTGGACAGCTGTTTGCTAGAAAGTGATATGTGTTGCCACATAGGCAGCACACTGCCCGCAGAATAGCGATCGGCGCTACCAGAGTCTGCCACATAAGCGTACCTTTCATTTCACATGGGTGGACATGCTTAGTTGGCGCTGTTGACTGGATAATTCCCATCTCCAACCAATCCACCACCCATCAAGCAAGCAGTTATAACACCCAGAGATCTCCTTTCACAATCAATTAGTGCAAGCTTCCTCTCAAAGTTCCCCTGCTCCTTTTCACCCCAGAAAAGGATAATGGCTTCCATCACCTCCTCTGCCGTTGTTGCCCCCGTTGCCTTCAAGGCAACTGTGGAGGCCTCCGCTGCCTCCTCCAAGTCTGTGTCTTTCTCCGGCCTGAAGGCTGGTGTCGCTGGCCCCAATGGCCTCGCCGCCAAGACCGTGTCCAACGGCAGCCGTGTCTCTTGCATGAAGGTCAGTGGTTTATCGGAGTAATCGCGTTAATCATTAATAGTTGCGTAGGACTCCGGCACCCTCTCCCGGTATCCTACTCCAACACCTCGATTCTTTGAAACGTGTTTCGAACCGAGTCACCTTCCATCGATTACATGCTCTCATAATTAGTTTTTGATATGTGCAGGTGTGGAACCCCATTGGCAACCCCCGGTTCGAGACCCTGTCTTACCTTCCCGCTCTCACCGACGACATGATCGTCAAGGAGATCCGGTACATGCTCAAGAACGGCTGGGTCCCTGCTATTGAGTTCGATGCCAGCGGTGTTGTGTACAGGGAAAACAACAGCGGCCCCGGTTACTATGATGGCCGCTACTGGACGATGTGGAAGCTGCCCCTCTTCGGCTGCACTGATGCCTCCCAGGTGCTCAGGGAGATCAACGAGTGCAAGTCTTCCTACCCCGGTTGCTTCATCCGTGTTTTGGGCTTCGACAACGTGAAGCAGGTCCAGTGCATGTCTTTCATTGTCCACAAGCCCTAAATCTTGGTTGGAACCACTTGTCGATGTAGCTTTCTAATATAAATACATTTTTGCAGTGAATCCGTTTCGCATGAAATGAGGTGTATGTTGATACGTCAGCTATATACTTCACCAATGTGATGGTCCAGTAACATCCAACAATGGTGGACAATGTTGTGCTGATATTGACCGTAGTTTTGGAACCGTTCAAAAGCATGGACAATGTTTTGCTTACCAGAGCCAATATTGATTTTGAAGTAGACTACGATCTGCATCCAATGGGCCCTCATGAGCCGCAGAGAAGCCGGATAGACATATATCCGTTCTATGTTAGAAAGAAGCTGGAAATGGACTAAGTGCAGAAAATACAATGCATACCCCAGCGTGGTGGAAAGAGAGAAGTGAAGTGTGACATGTCAATGGATGCTGTCTAGTCCCGGCAGCTTTGAGAAGTCACCATAATGAGGTTTTTTTTCGCTCCCTTGTATTGCTCTCCCTTCTACCCTAACTACCGTATACCCTTGTGAAACAGCTACGGCGGGCCTCAAATTCATTTCAAGGTTTCTTTATTTGTCAGACTTACGCTGAACTATTCAGTCGTCTGGGATGTAAGGGTCTCTGGTCATTTAGAGCTGACTCCAATCCGAAGTTAAGTCTGGCATGGCTGACGCACGTGGTATGGGAAGGAGTGAGCCTTGCACAAGGCTCTACTACATTGAACTTTTGTGGATAGTGTAGGTGAGGGAGGGACTCAGGGAGGGTGCCGCCGGCACCCACAGTTCAAATAACAGAAGGGTTCCTGTTGGGCAGGATATCCACCACCATCAATGGTCATGGAGGAAATTGTCAAAGGAAGGACGTGATTCAAAGTTGGTGAACCATACCTCTGTCAGTCATACTACAGTAGTCACTTGCGGAAAAAGCAACATATTCAGGTAACCCAGATTTCTTGTCCTAGGGTAGGGGGTCTCAAGGTTTTCTTGTCCTTGCTTCTGAAGAAAAGCTCATCGTCCCTGGGGTTATGAAAGACATGCTTGTAGTATTTGTGTTCAGAGCTGTACCATAAGCTACAAAGACCTGATTAAAAAGCTACCATACTTTCTTTTTTGCAAACGCAACCCACAGCAACGAATCAAGAAAAGTTGCAGGAAGGTAGGACATGAGTACAGCCAGGAGTGCCTGGTGGCCGTACAGAACCCGCCACGGAGGACAGCCCTTGCCCAGTGCCACGTCAGCAAGTCGTGCAGCAAAATCAGCGGTGTTAGTCGCCCAAGAATTATCCGCACTAGCAGCAAACTGCTCTCTGTAGGAGGCCTCGTAGGGCTTGTACAGACTTGAACTAGGAAGGATGGGGGCGCTGGTAAGAGCGTTACTGCATCAATCAGGGAGGCATCACCAGAGGAATAGAGTGGGGCATGAGGACAGTCATGCTTGCTGCAGTGCAACGTGGTTGAATGTGGAGTGTGGTACAAATGTGGATGTGCGAGGAATGCTCAATGTGTGAGGTGAGTAACAAGGAAGGGGAGAGCATTGTGGGAGGAGTGAGCATAGTGGGAGGAGTGAGCAATGTGGGAGGAGTGTGCAATGCGAGGGGTGAAATGTGGGACAATTGCTACAAACAGGCAAGGAGAACAGCGATCACCTTTCAGCAGCCGGTTTTTTGTCACAAAAAAAAAGAAGAAAACAATTTGAAAAAACAAACTCAGGACTGTTTTGAAGCGCCTCGAGAACAAACAGTGAGCTGACCAGAAGATGCGCGACTTGATGTAGCCTGGTGTGACAAGCACCACGTCGATGCCGAAGGGCCGCATCCTTTTGCGCATGCAATGTTCCGGGGATCCAAGAGCTCATAGTGGAGTAGCAGCAAACAGTCAATTGACCGGAAGATTCGTGACTTGATGTAGCCCGGAGTGACAAGCACCACGTCAATGCCCAAGGGCCTTATCTCCATGCGCAATCAATGTCCTGGGGATCCAAGTTTGTAGTGGAGTAGCAGCAATCAATCAACTGACCGGAAGATGCGCGACTTGATGTAGCCCGGCGTGACGAGCACCACGTCAACGCCGAAGGGGCGCATCTCCATGCGCATGCAGCTCGTGGCCGCTGCGAGCGCCGCCTTGCTGGCAGAGTAAGCACAGCTCCATGGCCTGCCTCCACGAAGGGGAATTCAACGATAGAGTTCAACTTATATTATTTTGATTGAGGCAGGTAAAAATGATAAGAAAGGGCTCTACCAGAGTGACTGGTTAGCTTTTCCCGGTGGCTTTTTCGAGGGAAAAGGGCACAGAAAGACGAGTGCGCAGATGATGGAACGTAAGTCAGAGAGGCAGGGAAGGGATGAGAAGCGATAAGCAGGGAAGGGATGAGAAGCAATAAGCATGAACGATGGTTGAGAGGCGAGCAACTTACCTGTTGACATATGCCGCAACACTGGCCATGTTCAAAATGCGAGAGCGAGTCCTGTGACAAAGAGCAGGCAGAGGAAGAGGAGGTAAGAAGGACAAAGAGCACGCAGAGAATCTGTTTCTTAGATGGTCACACACAGAGAATCAGTTTCCTACGTGGCCTCACGTGCTTGCCGTTGCTGCTACTCCCCGTGTCAGCAACAAGCTGGTATTAGTGCCGCTTACCTTAAACTGGCGAAAAAGAAGTGCCGCTGCGCCATGTGGGAAAGGCACCTCGAGCCATGGTGACAGCACAACAAGCTCGCAGAGACAGGGAAGTTCAAGCAGATTCATCGACTCACAATCGTAGATATCTCCTATTGCTGCTGCTCTTGTTCCGACAACCTCGTGCACCATAAAGACTTTTGAGTCGACTCAAAATTCATCTCAACCTTGTGCACCATAAAGAGCCATGACGACAGCTCAATGCTGTCTCAAGGGGCCTCAAAACCACGAAGAGCCACTCACTGCTGCTGCGCCATGACTGGGAAGACAGCTCGCGCCATGGCGAGGGCGCCGTAGAGATTGACGTCGAGCACCTGGCGGAGCTGGTCCAAGGACACATCGGCCACGGGGCATGGCATGCCGATGCCCGCGTTGTTCACTAGCACGTCCACCCGCCCCTCTTTTGCCACCACGTGGGCCACTGCTGCCTGAGAAGATACAGGAGGGAGGAGGGTGGGGAAAGGAGGGGACTTTCTGTTGACTAAGAAAGCACAGCAACCATGGGATGGGGCATGGCATGCCGATACCTGCATTGTTCACACGGACGTCTACCCGACCCTCCTCTGCCACCACGCGTGCCACTGCCGCCTGACAAGATGGGGCGAGAGACGAGATTGACCAGGATTTTGGGTGCCAGGGTCACACTCGACCACCAATTTGGGGGTTCTTGGCCCGCGGGTTTTAAAACGAAAGCATTATCGAGCTACCTGAATGGATTCTTCGCGCGTGACGTCAAGCTCGAGGGTTCGAATCCCGGTGGTGACAGTTAGTCCCTCCATTTCCGCCGCCTTCACCGCACTCGCGTACACCCGCGCGCCTCTCCGCGCCATCTCCCTGGAAACGGCGTGACAGAGACGAAATGCCACGCATAGTGGAACGTAATTTGAAAACTTCCCACATCCACTTTCGTAGATTTTTGCAAATACTGACACCTCTCCGCGACACGAGAAGGGATGCCACGGGGACGAATTCGCAGGGTTAGAAGGCGGAGAGCGTGAGAAGAGGTTCTTCCAGCTCGTGACGAATAAGGGAAATGCCTGGGAAGCGAGGACGGAGGAAACCGGAGACGGAATGTCGAGTCGATCTCACAGCACCGCTACTACTACACAAACATTGAGGTGTATTTTGAGGCGCCTCAAAATACACCTCACAGCACCGCTACTACTACACGAACCGCGATGCCGATTCAGCAGCACAGCTCGACGCTGCCTGCCTTGTGCAGAATGATTTGATGTCGGTATTCGCATAGTCAAATCACCTCGCGTCCTTAGCGTTCTAATTGAATGTTACCTGCTTGTGTAAGGAGCTTACTCCGCGAGAGCATAGCCGATGCCACCTTGGGAGCATCCCGTTATTAGCACCACTGGACTGGGATGCGTCGTCGTTTTCTGGGTGCTGAACGGTCGGCTGAATAATCCGCCCATAGTAGCGTGCGGAACATCGATGTAGTTAAGTGTGGAGGTGACGGAAGCACATGATCCACAAATGGTATGAAAATATAGGCAGGGGAACTTTAGAACGCGGCTGCGGCATCACCGCCATAAATCACGGCGGTGGAGTGGGAAGGATGTGGTTACTGTGCGAAAGCTACCGATCATTGATGAGTGGTTCCACAATAGTCGCCACGTTACGTTACACCACCAGGCGAACCAGTGAATCACTCGCAAAAGATGCTGAGCCGAAGCTGTTCGCCTCGTGGACCCTGGTTCGGGCCGAACGTCTGGGATTTTTTTTGGTGTTGCTTCGACGAATATCTATTGCCAGCACAGCCTATCACGGGATTGCGTCATGCCGTTGCTTTCACCCTAGTGGTGGCTCGTGGCGGGTTCCTGCACTGTGCATGGGTTATGGTTGTTCCAGCCCAACCACTTGTGAGGGCAGCGAAGCGGGCAACTCGTAATATCTGGGCATATCCCTTGGCTGCCATCTCCAGTGACCTCGTCTATGGTGGCTTTCTGAGGCCGGGGAACCTTCACGGGCAACGATGGGGATTCCCTGGGCAGTATGGTCACGTGGATACCGTTAACTCACTTGTGGGTTATGGACAGGGCATTTTGCTGCCCGAACACTGAAAGCACCCCTCGCTGTTCCGTATATTTTTAGCATATAAGGCAAAAATGGAGCTGTTATCCATGATCCCACTCCATGAAACTTTCTGCCTGATACTGGCACCTAAACCAAGAAAATCCTTATAAATCTATGTAGTGATCTCGGGAAGTGACTGCCAGCTGCCCAAGGAGGGGGTATACGGGTAACAATCATCAAGCAATGGGTCCAGTGTGCAGAGATTGTCATGGTGCCTGCCCCAGACGAGGTTAGGGAAAGAGATAAAGATTGCTTTATCACGCGCAGGCACGGGATGACATTCTGGAACGAGAGGCGTTGAAGCAACGCCGGATATTCGCTCGCTCCCTTTTGTCCACCTCAGCATATCGAACGGCTCCTGGGTATCGTTTGAACATGAATCTCCAGTTTCAGCGGTCATTCTGACCATGCCCTGATAAAGCAGTAACTTCCATTGGGAAGGGAATCCGGCGGAGCTGCGCCGAGGCGACACAAAAACAGTTGGCGGAACAGAGTGCTCTGTTGGCAGTTTTCGGTCGTCCATGCCCGTGCAAAAAATGATTTGCGCGGGATCGCGAAAGTTCCGCCTGCGCTGTTCTCCACATACACCCTTCCGCCTAGATGTGGAGGCATCTGCAATCCACATCTTCGTTCTGCTTGGCCTGCGGCTAGGGTTTGGTTCTGCGTACAGCCAATAGGAGCACGGCAACTGATGGTGAGGGTTTCGTGGCTCCACGAAAGATTTCCTGAAACTGGTCTCAAGCAAGGTGGCCCTAGCGTTCAGCTCTTCAGTAATCCCTTGGCTGGCCTAGCTCCTAGCAAGAATAGCTAATCTGAATCCTCTCTACGCCCTGCCCAGTCAGGATTTTCTGTCGTTTCTGCGTGCTTGCAGGATTAATGCGCGTTTTTTAGGAGATTAAGCTAATATAAGAATCCCTTGGTGACATTGCTAATAGCTTCATGTTTTGGTATGGCTGGCGAATTTGGAGAACGTTTAGAGCCAGCGGACGGAAATGATGACTGGCCTTGTCAACGGTCGGATCGATTAGAGCACTGTGGGAGCCATGGGATCCATCAAGAGTTTAGGAAAATCGATCTTGAGATTAAGAGGGGACCGAATGAAGGCTTAGGCGTCGCTGGACCGACTCTTGAGAACGATCGAAATTATGAGCCTCAGAGTCCTCAGGAACAACATGTGCAGGAGATACTGCCCGAGCAGCAGCAGCCGCCGCAGCAGCCACAGCAATTACAGCCGCAACAATTAGACGTCGCAGTGAATATGGACATGGATTGTCCGGGAGTCGCGGCGGAGTTCGGCAGGGTTCAGGAGCCTGCAGCGGACGACAACGAGGACAATAGAAATCGGAACGAAGACGACGAAGACGGGGAGGAGACGGGCGACGATTTCGAGCTGCACGACGGACCGATTAACAATGACGGCGGAGGCATCTCCGTGGGAGGGCCCGGGTGGGAGGCGTTCCTACCGCAGGGTAGTTTGAGGGTTTTGCTGGTCGAAGATGACGACTCCACCCGCCACGTCGTCGGCGCGCTGCTGAGAAACTGTTCCTATGAAGGTCCGTAGTGTGTCGCTCTTGCGAAGCTCCGTCCAGATCTGTTCGTAGGAGGTCCAGAAGGTTTGGACGCGCGTGTAGGACCCTTCGAATTTTCGGTAGCTGTTCCGCGTTGCCTAAGACGCGCTTTTAGAAACGATACGGCATCATCGACCGTATTTTTTATTTTCTATTTTTCGTAAGGCGTTTCATTTTCAAGCCTCGGAGGAATTCTTTAGCGGCTTAGCACGGCAACGTATCATCGAGATTTGTCACGGTGCAGCGCAGCATAAATTACCGTGGCTTTTAACGTAATCTCTGTCTATGCGAGTCTAAATGCGATTGCCTCCAGTACGCGCGCTCCCTCGTCGGCTTTATCTTCGCGCAGCCGTACGAACGAGTATTGTCGGGGATTTGGACTCGCTGCATTCGTTCGTTTTCCGACCTTTCCGGCGTTCTTTCCCAGCTGCACCGTGCGCTTCCTCGTTTCAATTCCAGCGTCCTCCCCAGTTGCACTCAGGGCTTTTATTTTCTAGCTATTTCACGAGCAGCCGTCAACAATAGCGGCATATATTCCGTGGTGTAATTACTACTTCCGCGATGTCTTTCCGTTGTCCCTTGGTCCTCGCTGCTCTCCATTCCTGTCCTTCCCTCCCCCCAAATTTCGTACTCGGTAACCCGCTAGTGTTCCCCACTTCCCCTCATCTCTCTCTCCCCTCCTTCCCCCCTCGCCCCTTTCTCCCCCGCCCCCCGCTGTGCCCAACAGTCACTCCAGCATCCAACGGCGTGCACGCGTGGGAGCTGCTGACGGCGAGCGGTGCAGCTCGGTTCGACCTGGTGCTGACGGACGTGGTGATGCCGGGGCTGTCGGGCATCGGGCTGCTCACGCGCATCATGACGCGCGAGGCTCTCCGCGGCATGCCCGTCATCAGTGCGTACCGCTCCTTCCCCTCACGCCGTCTTTACCGGCTCCAGATGAAATTGCGGCTTCGGCGCCGTTGTCTGCTTCAGATTTCGCTTGCCGTTTTTTCGTTCTTCCTGCATTTGACACCACGTGCTTCTTACGCTCCAACCTCCTCCTTCCCGTGCGCGCTGAAGTGATGTCGTCGCACGACAGCATGGAGATGGTGCTAAAGTGCTCAAAAGTCCTCTTCTCACAGTCTCCTCCCGCCGTCCCTCCCCATCCGCCCTCCAACCTTTCCACCCCCTCCCCCTTCCCCCTCCGCAGTGATGTCATCACACGACAGCATGGAGATGGTGCTAAAGTGTTTCCAGAAGGGCGCGGCGGACTTCCTTGTGAAGCCCGTGCGCAAGAACGAGCTCAAGAACCTCTGGCAGCACGTCTGGCGCCGATGCCACTCGGTACGCCGCGCCTCCGCTCCTGCTCCGCGCCTTTGCTCCGCGCCTCTGCTCCGCGCCTCTGCAGCCCGCTGCTCTGCGCCGCTCCACTCTGTGCGCGGCTCTTCTTGCTCGCGTGCTGTGCGCGAATTGTGCGCTGTCGCTCTGCGCTGTGCTGCGCTGCTCTGGCTCACGTGCCTTGTCTTCAAATTCCACCGACTTTTTCGACTACGTTTTAACCTTAAAAATTGCCTGTTGCGGAGATCCTAAACCCTGCTTCCCCCCCTTCGTTTTTCTTCTGTTTTTAACAGTCTACGGGCAGCGGCAGTGGCAGCGGCAGCGGCACGAACGGCAAGGTGCTACGAGAGAAGCGGGGCGCGTACGAGGGCGACGGAGTGGGGTGCAGCTTCAACGTGAACGGCGGCAGCGACAACGGCAGTGGCACTCAGGTTCGTATCGGCCCCCGTGCTGCTGCTGGGAACGATGCTGGGAACGATGCTGGGAACGATGCTGGGAGTGATACCGAGAGGGATGCTGGGAGGGATGATAGCAGGGACGCCGGCAGTCGCACATGCTCGCCTGTGCGCGGCAGCATCGGCCGCCGGTCTCAGTGCCCATTGCACGACTCTTCATGCAGCCTGGGTCGGAGGTCCCCGCGGATTGACCCCCTTGGCAAACGACCCAGAAGCCCCGAGGCTGGCGCTCCCTCACGTCCGGATCCAGGCTGGGCTTCAGGCTCGGCGTCAGGCTCGGCCTTTGGCTCGGGCTCGGGGTCGGGGTCGGGTTCGTCCTTGAAGGGGGGCTCAGGCTCGGGCGATGGTGGGAAGAAGCGCGGTGGTTTGTCTTCCGCCCTCCTCTCCGCTCCCCGCGCGCCTCACCCTCCTGTGGCGCCGCTTCTCACGCTTTTCGCGGAGTGATAGTGCGCCATGGAGAGCCTCCCCCACGCCGCCTCCATTCCGTCTCCTTCTCCCTCTCCTCCTTCTCCTCATGCCTTGGTTGGTTGATCGCCATCTCACCGCATTCTCTCTATCTGCTCTGCTCTGCTGCGCTGTGCGTGTGCCTGTGTCCCTCCCTTGGGGCACCCTGATTGTCGGGGGTGGGGGTGCGGGGGGGGAACAGGTCAACGCCAATGCCACCAAGGCACACGCGCGGGAGAAGCAGGAGAGGGAGAGGGAGAGGGAGAATGAGCGCGAGAGGGAGAGGCAGGCGGAGGGAGAGGGCAACTGCGACGGCACAGGGAACGACCTAGGTAATGCACCGTCTGGTAACTCTTCTCTCTCTCTCTCTCTCTCTTGCTCTCTCGTGCTAACATTCTCTCACCTGCTTTCGGCTGTTTATTTTCTTTTCCACTCCAGCCATTTCTGCACCATTGGCTTGCACCCATGCCTGCCCTCTTCCACCAATACTTGCCCTCCCCTTCCCCCTTCCCTCACTTCTCCCCCCACCGCTTCCACCGCACCCCCCCACCCCATTCGGCCCCTCCTCTTTTTTTCTCGCTCTCGTTTCGTCTGCTCGCACTCGTGTGTGCTGTCCTTCTAAACTCATGTGCTCTCCTCTTCTCCTGCGCGCGCGTCTCTCACGGCAACAGCACCAGGCGGCACCATGGTTGGGTCGCATTCCGCTCTGCCCCACACTACCGCCGGCGCTGCCGCCGGATCCGGCGTCTTACCCGCCAACACCGCCGCCGCCGCCGCCGTCGCTGCCGCCGCTGCTGTTGCGACTGCTGCTGTTCCCGCTGCGGGTGGGGGCGGAGGAGGGGGAGGAGGGGGCGGCATGCAAGCGTCAGGGGAAGGTTCGACTATTAAGAGGCCTGACGAGTTGGTGTACGACGGGGGAGGCGGAGGCGGGGGAGGGTTGGGGGGAGGAGGTGGAGGGGGCGGGGGAGGGGGAGCAGGCGCGGATGCGTCCCGGCACGTGCTGACAGCTCCGCTCAGGTCGGCGCAGCTGCAGGAGGAGGATGCGCGCGGGGGAGTGGAGGGCGGGAGGCACGCGGAGAGGAGGGGCGTGGCAGAGATTGGGGGCGCGACGAGTTGGCGCATGAGGGGAGGGGAGGAAGAGGAGGAGGAGCAGAGGGAGATGGAGAAGGAGAGGGAGCGGCGGTTGGAGCACGCGAGGCAAGCGACTCATGGCGGACGTGGCTCCGCTGCTGAAGCGGCGGCGGCGGCGCTGGCGGCGGCTACAGCCGCTGCTGCCGATGGCGTTGTTGCTGCTGCCACAGCCGCCGCTGCAGCCTGCGCTACAGCCGGCGCTACAGGCGCGGCGGCTACAGCCGCGGAGCACCATCTGGTGTCGGGCGCGCGCGTGACGACGGCGCCAACGCTGGCGTCGGAGGAGGCGGCGCTGCAGATCGGCAACGAGAGCGAGGGCGCGTCGCCGCGCGCGGAGGAGGACCGCGAGAACGAGGGCACGTCCGCCGAGTCCACGCGCGAGGCGTCCGCAGAGGCCATGCTGCTGGGGGGGCTCACGCTCGCGGGGAAAGCTGGCGCGCCGGACGCCGCTGCCGCCGCCGCTGCTACGGGCGCGGTTGTGGCTGGTCTCGTACCTGCTGCAGAAGGGGTTCCGAACCAAGGCGCCGACAGGCTTGGTGGCGTTGGGAGCGGTGCTGCGCGGTGGGGCAGAGTGGGGGGAGGGAGGGGGAGATGCAAGGGGGTGGCGGAAAAGGTAATGCCCGGGGAGGCGGAGATACGGGACGATGGAGGGGGCGGGGCGGCGCGGAGGGGCGCGGATAAAGATGGCGCCGCATGCACCGGACCGAGCAGGAGAGTGGTTGAGGGGCGGATGATTCTCGAGACGGCGCAAGAAGGGCGGGCAGGGGAGGACGTGGAGATGGGGGAGGGGGACGAGGAAGAGAGGGGTGTGAGAGAGGGCGGAGAAGGGAGGGAGGAGGAGGAGAAGAGACGCGGGTGGGATGAGGGCATGGAGGTGGAGGGGGGAGAGGAGGGACGTAGGAGAGGTGTTGGAGCGGTTGGGAAGGAGCGGGAGATGGCGAGGGGCGAGGGGGAGAAGGGCGCTGGCGGACAGCAGCAAAGGCAGCAGCAAGAGCAACGCGAGCATCACCCAGTGCATCCTCTGAAAGTCTCCGCCTTCTCACGGTAAGCCACCCCTTCCCCCTTGCACCTGCCCCCCAGTCCCCCTCCACCCTCCCGTCCACTACTTTCCCCACGCACGTTCCCCTGTCTTTCTCGTCCCCCTCCCTGTCCCCTATATGCTCTCATTTAGTTCCCACCCGGTGCACGTTTTGGCTTGAACCATTTGCTCTCCGCTCTTCCATTGTCATTGCCCTCCATCCCTCAGCATCTTTCCCCCTTCTCTCCGTTTCTCTCCCCTCACTCGCCTTTTGCAGCTATCACACGGTCGGCCCGACGATCATTCCAGCAGCCAATCACAGCCTGCCACCTGGACCACCGTCAGCTGCTCTGCCATCTGGCACAGCCGCAGCAGCTGCCGCCGCGGGCGCAGCAGCGCAGCGCGCGGGCGCACATCCGCCGCCCCCATTCGCGCACCAACCGCCGTGCGACCTGTTGCCACACGCGCATGTCCTGGCAAGCGCACGCAGCGCCGTCCCATCCGCGCATGCCCCGCACGCGCCTATCATCCGCCCCCCTGACCGCCACGGTTCCGCCACGCAGCAGCATCTGGCGGCGCAGCACGAGCATGAGGCGTCGGGCAACGTCTCCTCCGCGCTCACGGCGTCGCACGGCGTGCTCCTCGCTGGCGCGCAGCCCATGCGCGCAGCTGCTGCTGGCGCGCATGGGAAGGGCGTGAAAGCGGCGCACGTGGCGCACGCCGGGGCGCCTGGGGCGCACAGAGGGGGGAAAGGGGCGCAAGCAGGCAGGGTCGTTGGCTTTTGTGACGCCATGGCGGAAGGCCTTGGGCAGAAAGACGCGCGCGCGTTCCCCCTCATGCCAGGGGCGATGGACGCTGCTGCTGCTGCTGCTGCTGTCCGCGTGGGTCACGTGGTGGTGGGGCAACCACAACAGCAGTTGCAGAAGCAGCAGCACATGCTGTGCAAGCCGCCACCTGTCGCTGCTGCTGCCGCCACTGCTGCTGCTGCGGGGAAAGGCGATGCTGCTTGCGTGTGCGCGGGCGCAGATGCTGCCGGTGCTGCTGGTGCGTCTGCTGTGGGGATGCGAAAGGGAGAAGGTAGCATGGGAGCTGGCGCGTCAGGAGCAACGTTTGCCGGCGTGAGCGGCGTCACTACCGCTCGCGCTAGTGGCGCTCTCCCTGCTGCCACCTGCGCTACAGGCGCCACCGCTTCTGCTGCCGTGTCTGCTGCCGCAGCTGCCGCCGCTGCTGCTGCTCGCGCTGCCACTGGCACTGTCACTGTCCCTTCCGCCACCGCCGCTGCAAGCGTCGAGCCTCCTTCCACTGCAGCAACCGCTGCTGCTGCTGCCACTGGTGCGGCTGGATCAGTCCCAGCTTTCCCCGCCGCCCCTGTTTGCGCTGCGCCTCCTGCTGCTAGCGGCACACCTGGCGCGCTCTCGCACTCCCCCGCGGATACGCGGGGCGGGGGGCTGCTGCTCAGCACCTCTGGTTGCCCTGGGGGGAGAGAGGGCGGGGGAAGCGGCGGAGGGGGAAGCGGGGGTGGGGGAAGCGGAGGAGGAGGGAGCGGGGGAGGGGGTAGTGGGGGAGGAAGCAGAGGGGAGGGTGGTAGTGGTGGGGGAGGCAGTGGGGGCAACGGAAGCGGTGGTGGGGGGAATGGCAGTGGGGGGAATGGGAGTGGGGGGAACGGGAGCGGGGGCAACGGGAGTGGGGGGAACGGGAGGACGGATCGGTCTGGTGCTGGTGAGTTGACCGAGGCAACAGCAGCGTCAGTGACGGGAGGTATAACGGGGGGAGGTCACACCCACCGCAATGGCAGCACCTCTGCTGTCACTCGCCTCCCTCTTGCCCCTTCCGCCCCAACCGCCCCTGCTCCCCCTACCGTTCCTGTTGCCCCTGCTTCCGGCCCTGCTGTTCCCACTGCCCCTTCGGCACCTGCTGCTGCTGCTACTCCTGCGGCTCCCACCCCTGGAGCCCCTACCGTTCCTTTCGCCCCGGCTGCTGTCGCTCCTCCTGCTCCGCCTGCTGCTGCCACCGCGGCAGCCACAGCAGCAGCGGCTGCTGCGGGGTTGTTCGCTCGCCCGTTCGACCCGAGTCTAGCAGCAACTGGGATGTACCTGCAATCGCCGCTCTACTATGCGGCTGCTGCTGCAGCAGCGGCGGCAGCTGCGGCGGTGGCAGCAGGGGTGCCTCCCCTGTGGACTTGCCCCCCTCCTCCCCCCACCGCTCAGCGGCCCACTCAACCGCAGCTGCAACAGCAGCAGCAGCATCAGACGGTGCAACAAGAAAGGCAGCAGCAAGAGCAGCAACGAGACCAGCAGATGCAAGAAGCGCAGCAAGAGGGAGAGGCGAGAGGGCAGCAGCACATGCAACTGCAGCCTCCCCACCCTCCCATGCGATTCCCGCCGCCTCCACCAGTGCCAGTCCTGTCACAGCAACGCCAGCAGCAGCAACAATCGCAGCAGCAACAGCAGCAGCAGCATCCTGATTGGCGGGCGCGCTTGCTAGAAGCACCCACCTTTCCAGCATCACCCTTCCCCGGCGCCACCCGCTTCGCGCCTGTCGCCCTGCACAGCCGCGCGCCCCCCCTCGGCCTTCCTCGCCCCCATCCCCACGCGCTCGCCCACCCCCACCCGCACCCGCCCCCGCACTCCGCGCTCCAGCCCCTCGTTCCCCAGCCGCTGCCGCAGCTATTGCCGCAAGGCCAGGCTGGGTCTCGAGGGGAGGAACCAGACGAGTTAAAGCCAGGGGCGCCGGAGCGAGAGCAGCAAGAGCAGCAGCAGGTGCAGGAGGAGCAGAGGCAAGAGCAGTGCGGGAAGCAACGGCTGGAGAGAACGGAGAAGCAAGAACAAGAGCAGCAGCCGCAACAGCAAGAGCAGATGCCGGCCCCTTCACCAGCAAACGCCACAGCACCAGACGCAGCAGTAGCAAGCGCCGCAGAAGCTGCAGCAGTACCGAGAGAAGCAGCAGGCGACTCCCCACCGCTGCCGTCAGCGCAGCAGCCGCGGCGGACACACCACCACCTGGCGAAACACCTGTTGCCGCCCCCCCCGCCTCTCCCTGTCGCCGGTTCCTCCCCGGGTCTGAGACCAAAAGAAGCGAGGAGAGAAGGGAGGAGAGACGGGAAGGACGAAAGGGCGAGAGGAGAAAAGGAGCAGGGAGAACGGATGATGTATTTGGATGGTGCAGCGGGGGCTCAGGGGAAAGAGGAGAGGCGAGAAGGAGGAGGAGCGGGTGCAGGAGGGAAGATTAAGAATGGTGGGAAGGAAGGGGGGGCGGAGATGGCCTGTTTGGAGAGCAAGACTCCTGCGTCGCCCAGAGGTATCGGGGAACCTGTGAAAGCGGTGCAGAGAGCACAGCGGCAGGAGAGCCATGGGAAGGTGCGTGTGTCATCCACAGAAGCTTTGCACTGGGTGGAGGAGTCTAAGGCGCTGCAGGAGCAGGTGCAGCAGGGACAGCAGGGACAGCAGGGGCAGCGGCATCACCATCACCACCAGCGGCACCACCACCATCACCGCCACCACCATCGCGGGCACTCGCACCCGTCCTTACAGCAGCAGCATAGTGTGAGTGTCATGTCTCCTGCTAACCCTTGCGCCGCTGCTGCCGCCGCCGCCGCCGCCGCTGCTGGTGGTGCTGCTGATGCGGCAGCAGCAGCTGCTGCAGAGGATGCGAAGATGAATGGGAACGCTAGTGGGAGTCCGGAGGGGGGAGGTTCCAACCCTCACAACGCTGCTGCTGCCGCAGGGGTGGCAGGCGCAGCAGCAGCAGCGGGCGCAGGTCCGGTAGCTCTTTCGGGGCACCACCGAGCCTCGGCCGCAGCTGCGGCTGCCGTGCCTCGAGGCGAGGTTGGGAACGATGGGAGCAGCAACGTGTACGCGAAGGTCGGGGGTGGCGGCGGCGGCGGTGGTGGCTGCGGCGGCGGTGGCGGAGGGGGAAGGAACGCGCGGGAAGGAGTTAACAACAGCAGCAGCAGCGGGGGGGACGGTAACGGGGATGGGAATGGAAGCTCGGAGTATAATGAAAGTGGGGACACGGGGAGGGACATGGCGGGCAGCGCTCGCGCAGGGAGCGGCGGGCGGAGTGGCAGTGGGCAAGGGTCGGGCGGAGGGGGGAGCGGACAGGGGAGTGGCGGAGGCAGCGGAGGCGGGAGGGGAAGCGGGGGCAGCGGAGGCAGTGGGGGGAGTAAGCGCGGGGATGCAAGCGCGAATGGGGCGCATGAGTGGAGCAGAACGGGGGGAGGCGCGGGGGGCGGGGGGGGGATTCAGGCGCTGTTGTCTTGCGCCAATGGCAGTGCGGTGGGGTCTAAGGACCAGGCGCATGACACTGCGGGCATGACAGGCGCGGGCGGACGCTTCCAGTCCCCCCAACGGGGTAACGGCGGAGGGGGGAGCGGAGGGGAGGGAGGTACTGGCGCGGGGAATGGGATTGAAGGGATGGGGAGTGGGGGAGAAGGCGGAACGGGGGGCAGGGGTGGGGAAGGCAGTGGTGGGGATGGGGGAGGGAGTGGGGGAGGAGGGGGCTCGGGAAGAGGAAGTGATGGGGGAGAGGGGAGTGGGGGGGAGGGAAGCGGAGGGGACGGGGGAACAGGGGGGCAGGCAATGGGGATGGGTGGCGGGGGGGCGGATGAGGGGAGGAGGCAGTCAGGGGGACAGTCAGTGAGGCGGGAGGGGAATGCCATGGACGGGGAGGATGGCGGAGAGGGGGACAGGGATGGCGGAGAGAGGAACAGAGATGGTTCCGTTCCCACCACTGCCACTGTCGCCGCCGCTGTAGGCGCTGGAGTTAACGGGGAGGCTCAAAGGGGGATGGAGGGGATGAGGGAGAGAGGGAGGGGGAGTGCGTCGGAAGCAACAGAGGCGTTGGATGTGGCAGCGAGGGATTTGAGAGGAGAAGGGAGCGGTGGCGAGGCAGAGGGGGCGGAGGGCAGTGTTGGGCGAGAGGAGGGTGGTGCTGCGTGTGCGGGTGGTGTGGGTGATGTGGGTGGTGCCGCGGGTGTGGTGGGGCGGAAACGAGGCAGAGAGGAGGAGGCATGGAGTGAGGACATGGCAGTGATGGTTGGAAGGGAGTTGGGAGGCAAGAGCAGCAAGAGGCGCGAGTGGCTCACTGAGGGGATAGTGGCAGCAGGAGAGGCAGAGCGGATACAGGCGCAACAGCAGGAGCAGCAACAGGAGCAGCACGGTCAAGTGGAAGAGGAGGAGGATGAGAGGTGTGAGGGTGCAGATGTGCACATGAGAGGCGGTCCTCAGGAGATGCGGCAGGAGGAGGATGGGGAGGAGACGGAGGATGAGAAGGAAGTGGAGGATGGTGGCGAGGAGCATGGGGTAGGCAGGAGGGAGGAGGCGGGACAGGAAGAGGGAGCAGCAGGGCTGCTGTCGTTATCCGCCTCTCTCGCTGCACCCGCTATGCCTTCCCCTGCACCTCCCGCACCTGCTGCTGCCGCTGCTGTTGCAAGCCCGGTGGGAGACGTAGCTGAAGGGGCAGATGGGGGAGGGGAGCAATCAGTGTGTAGGGCGGGAGGGGTGGAAGGTGCATACGGTGTAGAGGAAGCAGGAGGTGCAGAGGGGGCAGAGGGCAGTGGAGGGGTGATGAGTCGGCAGGCGGTGCGGGAGGCGGCACTCAATAAGTTCCGGCTGAAGCGCAAAGAGAGGAACTTTGAGAAGGTGGGTCCGTATTCTTTAGCCATTCGTTGCCAGCCCAGGCGGTTTTTTCTGGAAGTGTCCCCTGCTTTTCTCCACTTCCCCCCCCTCCCCTCGTGCCCGCCGCCGTCTGCTATCCTCAAACTTGTGCCTTGAACCATTGCACCACTCCCCTCCCCTCCCCCTCATCCTTTCCTCCTATTCTCCCTCCCTGGCCCCCTTCCCCTCTTTCCGCTCTTGCATGCGTCATCATGTGCAGGTGCGGTACCAGAGTCGCAAGCGACTGGCAGAGCAGCGGCCGCGCTTCAGAGGCCAGTTTGTCCGCCAGCCCGCCCTCCCTCCCACTCCGCCTCCTCCCGCTGGGCCCACTCCTCTTGCTGCTCCCACCGCACTGCAGCAGCGCCTGCCTCTCCCACCCGGCACCACTCCTTCCGTCCACGCGGGGAGGAACCATGGCAGCATGCCATTACCCGTGCAGATTCCCTTGATGCACACGCCAGGAGTGGCAGGAGTGCATGTTCCAGGGATGATGGCAGCAGCAGCAGCAGGCAGCAACCTCGACCGAACCATGCAGTTCTTCCCTATCACCCCGTGCCCTGCTGTCGCCACCGCCCCTTCCATTGCCACTGCTCCCCCCTCGGCTCCTCTGCCTCTTGCCCTGAGCAGCCACGGTCAGGAGAGGGTATTTATGAGCCACAGCAACGGCATCAGCATCGGGAGTTTCGGCGCGATTGGAAGCGCGAGTGCGGGTGGGAGTGGGAGTGGGAGTGCGAATGCGAGTGGGAGTGCAAGTGGGATGGTTCCTGAGAGCAGTTACAGTGCAGCAGTGGTGGATATGAGCTATGGTGCGGCCGTTGCTGATATCAACGGCCCTGATTCGTCCGGTGGCATGCCTGCTGCTGCCTTCCTTGCTGCGGCTCCCTCTTCTGCTGTCGCTGCTGTTGTTGAGGAGGGTGTTGGAGGCTTGGGAAAGAGGGTTTGGGGGGAGAGAGGGGAGAGCATAGAGGGCAATGGGGTTACCCTGTGGCCTAAGAGATGACATGCTGCTGACTCCTATAACTATGAGAGGTTGACACCTGGAGGTTTGGCAGGATGACACATGGACAGCTGACACGCTGACACGTGGAGGGATGACAGGTAACAGGTCGATACCTGGCGTGAGTGTCAACCTGCTTCTACCTATCGTGGTTTTAATCACTGTTGCTGAGGTCACCACCTGCACTGCGAGCATAGGATGCCTTCGCTACATGGCTAGCTTGTGATATAGCAGTGCTGTGCTATCCTTTTTGGGGCCTGGCAGGCTCTATGAACACACATGACATGATATGAGTTGTTGTAGGGAGGATGATGCTAGGAGGGTCTGAGTGGTGGGCTGCATGAGGGGTGTGTAGGGCCAAAGGTCCTCTCCACGCCTTTTTGTAGATACGTGCTGAGCTTTACACTCGGATTACGGACCTTAGGCATTATGGGTCTGTGAGAGAAAAAAATGCATGTATTTATTTGGTTGATAGTATACCCTGAACTCGATAAGTGGAACCCTGGTACAGAAGTTCCGCAATGACTCAAACTGCTTATAGCGAGGCAAAGCTCTGACATGTCCCCGCCGTTTTCATCTACATGTATCACTTCCGTTGCCGCGGCATAGGGAATACCAATTTCACAGAATTCCAGTTCATGGATCTGTCACTGTGCTAGTTAGTGGAAAGCTAGTTCGTGCCGACCAATCGTGTACGTCGTGCAGCGTCTGCCTCTGCGTCTACTATACCAGAGTAGCATCCTCCCCGCTATTCCCGCGATCGAAGCGTAGCCGTCATGGTTCTCGAGGTATGCTCTTTATAGACTTCCACGATTTCACTTGTGTTGCAACCGAAACCTGCTCGCGCTGATGATCGTGCTCGCTCTGGCGACCAGGGCAACCGACACCTTGCACGGAGTTTCGAAACGCGATCTAAGGCGTCTGAGAGACGTCTATGCTCTCGCGTTATGCATCGTATTCCCTTGCACCACAATTTTTTAGGCGCCTCGGAAATCATGCTGTTCCCTGGCACCACCATGCTGTGCCGAGACGTACCCCTGCTGATGACGTATCTGCGTTCGTCGCGCGTGCTCTCCCTCCTCGCGCGACCCGTTGCCTGGTTACCCTGGCGATTCGGTTTCTGCTAGTGGTTCGTGAATCTCGTCAATTTTCTCAGTTTTCAACTGCTTTTGGTTTTCTCCTCCGGGATTATTTCCAATCCGTGAAGATTGAACAGATTCTCAGAAGCGTTGGACTCGTTCGACTCATCATTCGCGGTACAGGCTTCGGCCCGTTATCTCACAGCGGCTGCGCTTCCTCCGTTTCTCCCGATTCATTACCCCCAGGCCAACAGCATCCACTCCGTCCCCCAGGGCCACCGTGGCGTGTGTCCACATCTCCGAGCGGGTTCTGTTGGCTCGGCAATCTCTAGGATCCATGCTCACGTTGCTCACATGGTGGTCGTGTGGATGCGTGTTTGCCTCGGCAATCCCAAGAGTCCATGCCGACGAGCCATTTCTGGCGATGCATTTTCCTGCCTCTTCCCGCCATCCCCCAGGCGACGGTAGTGTGCGTGGACAACTCCGAGTGGATGCGTGTTTGGCTCAGCGTGCCTTTTCCTGTCTCTTCCCCGTCACCCCCCATCTCTTCCACCCCCCCGCTCATGCCCTTCCCCCCAGGCGACGGTGGTGTGCGTGGACAACTCCGAGTGGATGCGTGTGTGCGCCGACAATCTCCCCCACACCTCCCGCCATCCCCACCCGCCCGCCGCCCCCCCGTCTCCCCCCAGGCGACGGTGGTGTGCGTGGACAACTCCGAGTGGATGCGGAATGGCGACTACGCGCCGTCGCGCTTCCAGGCGCAGGCCGACGCGATTAATCTCATCTGCGGCGCCAAGACGCAGGTGAGCAGCGGCCGAGACGCAGGTGAATGAGCGATGCGGGGGAGATTCGCGTGCGATTGAGCAACGACTTGTGAGACGTCTCAAAGGTGCAGGTGTGCTATCTGGTTAAACGTTTGCACGTGAGAGACATGGCAGGTCGCTCAGTCTCATGTCATGAGAGCTGAGTTTCATGTCATGAGAGCTGAGTTTCATGTCATGAGAGCTGAGTTTCATGTCATGAGAGCTGAGTTTCATGTCATGAGAGCTGAGTATCGTGTCATGAGAGCTGAGTTTCATGTCATGAGAGCTGAGTTTCATGTCATGAGAGCTGAGTATCGTGTCATGAGAGCTGAGTTTCATGTCATGAGAGCTGAGTTTCATGTCATGAGAGCTGAGTATCGTGTCATGAGAGCTGAGTTTCATGTCATGAGAGCTGAGTTTCATGTCATGAGAGCTCAGTCTCATGTTATTAGAGAACGCTGTTGGCATGCCTGAGGCTGAGGCGGGCGCTTCAAATTTCACCGCTCCCTACACTTGACCCCCCCACTCCTCCCCCTCTTGTGCGCCCGTGCATGGGTGACAGTCGAACCCTGAGAACACGGTGGGCATTCTGACGATGGCGGGTAAGGGCGTGCGTGTGCTCGTCACCCCCACCGCCGACCTCGGGAAGATCCTCTCCACCATGCACGGTGCGTTGTGAGGCGCCTTAATAGTTGTGTCTTAAACTGCAATTATTGAGGCTCCCCAAGAGTCGCCTTTTAACCTGTAATCCCCGAGGTGTCTCAAAGGGCGTGCGTGTGCTCGTCACCCCCACTGTTTTCCTGGGCAAGATCCTCTCCTCTCCACCATGCACGGTGCGTTGTGAGGCGCCCTCACAGTCGTCTCTTCTCTTAACCTGCAATCCTTGAGGCGCCTCAAAGGGCGCGCGCTTGCTTGTCACCCTCATTGCCGGCCTCGGGATAATTCTCTCCACCGTGCGGTGCATCACCCGCCTGTATCTAAACTCTCTCACAAGAACATGTCCTGTCCACCATGCATGGTGCGTGCATCGCCCGCTCCCATTTGAGTTGACTCACAAGTCATGTCCACCATGCATCGTGCTTCTCTGATTCCCCTTTCATGGCGCTGTTGATGCAACGCTGGCAAGATGCAATCATTCTTACCCCTTTCCTTTCTCTGGTGCATTCTGTGGCTGCTGGCCTCCAGGTTTGGAGGTGGGGGGCGACACGAATCTGCTGTCAGGGCTGCAGGTGGCTCAGCTGGCGCTGAAGCACCGGCAGAACAAGAACCAGCGCCAACGCATCGTGCTCTTTATTGGCAGGTGCGTTGTAAGCTGGTGGGTGTCATCGAGTGCACTAGCAGTTGGCTGAAGCACCGGCAGACCAAGAACCATGATGCTCCAAGAACCATGATGCTCCAAGAACCATGATGCTCCAAGAACCATGATGCTCCAAGAACCATGATGCTCCAAGAACCGTCATGCTCCAAGAACCATGATGCTCCAAGAACCATGATGCTCCAAGAACCATGATGCTCCAAGAACCATGATGCTCCAAGAACCATGATGCTCCAAGAACCATGATGCTCCAAGAACCATCATGCTCCAAGAACCATGATGCTCCAAGAACCATCATGCTCCAAGAACCATCATGCTCCATGTTGGCATTGGCTGCTGAGTTGCAACCTGATTTGTGTGCGAGTCCTATGGTAGCCTTTTGTCGCGACACAACCACGAGCGACCTGCCGACCGCGTTGCCCCGCCCATCACCAACTCCTGCGTTCCCAACCCTCCCCCAACCCTCTTCCCCACCCCACGGCCCCCATGCTGTCAGCCCAGTGGCAGCGGATGTGGAAACGTTGGTGAAGGCGGGGAAGAGGCTGAAGAAGAACAACGTGGCGCTGGACGTGGTGAGCTTCGGGTGGGACGGCGAGGACGAGGAGAAGCAGGCCAAGCTCGAGGCGCTGCTGGGAGCCGTCAACAGCAATGACAACTCGCACCTCCTGCACGTGCCGCCCGGCCCTGCTGTGCTCTCCGACGTGCTCATCAGGTGAGCTCTTGTTGCTATATCAGTGCCTGCTAGGTGGGTCACATGTGTTAGGTGGGTCACATGTGTTAGGTGGGTCACATGTGTTAGGTGGGTCACATGTGTTAGGTGGGTCACATGCGTTAGGTGGGTCACATGTGTTAGGTGGGTCACATGTGTTAGGTGGGTCACATGTGTTAGGTGGGTCACATGTGTTAGGTGGGTCACATGTGTTAGGTGGGTCACATGTGTTAGGTGGGTCACATGTGTTAGGTGGGTCACATGTGTAGGTGGGTCACATCACATGTGTTAGGTGGGTCACATGTGTTAGGTGGGTCACATGTGTTAGGTGGGTCACATGTGTTAGGTGGGTCACATGTGTTAGGTGGGTCACATGTGTTAGGTGGGTCACATGTGTTAGGTGGGTCACGTGTTAGGTGGGTCACATGTGTTAGGTGGGTCACATGTGTTAGGTGGGTCACATGTGTTAGGTGGGTCACATGTGTTAGGTGGGTCACTGTGCCAGCGCTCGTCAGTGCACGTTTGGTGATTGCCCACTTGCCGTTCACCTGCTGTTTTCACCCTGATTTTTCGCAGTCTTTTAACTTTTGCCATTCTTCTCCCCACCTCCCATTTCCGCATTGCTCACACACCCGCCCATCACTCACACTCCTACCCATCACTCACACACCCGCCCATCACCCACACTCCAACCCATCACTCACACACCCGCCCATCACTCACACTCCTACCCATCACTCACACACCCGCCCATCACTCATACTCCTACCCATCGCTCACACAGCTACCCTACCTTCCCTCCCACACAGTTCTCCCGTGTTCACAGGGGACGAGGAGGGCAGCAGCGGCTTCAAAACATTTGAGACGTCATAAGTTTCCCCCCTTCCTCTCCCACTCCCCATTCCGCATCACTCGCACACCTACCCTCCCATCCCCCCACACAGCTCCCCTGTATTCACAGGAGACGGGGAGGGCGGAAGCGGGTTCGCAGCAGCAGCAGCAGCAGGGGCAGCAGCAGCAGCGGCAGCAGGGGGCGGGGGACTGGGGGGCGACTTTGACTTTGGCGTTGACCCCAGCGTTGACCCGGAGCTCGCCCTCGCCCTGCGCGTGTCCATGGAGGAGGAGAGAGCCCGCCAGGAGGCTGCTGCTCGCAAGGCAGCTGCTGAGCAACAGACTGGTGCTGCTGGTGCTGAGGGTGCTGAGGGTGCTGGGGGGAGTGGAGGGGAGGGTGGGGCGTCGGGAGAGGGGGCGAAGGGGGATGTGGCGATGGGGGAGGGGGAGAAGAAGGCGGAGGAGGGGCGCGCCACTGCTGCTCCTGCTGCTGCTGACGTTGCTATGGTGAGTGGTGGCGTGATGGACTGTGGGGTGGGACTTGGCAGCCAGTACTGATCTGCATCACTCGCTTATGTTTCTCCCCACTGTTCATCCGGCCAGTTCATCCGGCCTGTTTATCCGCCCTCTTCATCCACCCTCTTCCTCCCTGTTCATCCGCCCTGTTCCCCCTGTTCTTCTCCGTGTCTCCTCGCACACACCAGGACGACGAAACAGCGCTGCTGCAGCAAGCACTGGCCATGTCAATGGCAGCAGGGGCAGCAGGCGGGGCGGGAGATGCTGCCATGCTGGATGCCGCTGCTGGAGGGGAGGATGCTGAGCTGGCACTCGGTGAGTGGTCCTCTTTGTGAGCTCCTGGCTTCTAGAGGCGCCTCTGAGTGACCCTCAAGAACCAGCTTTACCATGCGTGTGCAACTGTTGTGTGCCTCGTATGCCCCTCTTCCATGTTCAACGAACACTAGGATTTGTTTCACAATGGACTTTGCCCAACACCGGCCCCCCTTATCCTCCTCCCCCCCCCCCCACCCTCCCACCCATTTTTTTACTTCTTTCTTTTCTGCTCTTTTTTTTTTTGGCAGTACCGTAAGTCAAGAATTGCTACTCTTTTTTTGTTTACAACGTCTTAACTTTCCCCCCTTGGCCCTTCTTACCACCAGCCCTGCAGCTGTCAATGCAGGAGGCAGCGGAGGAAGGCAAGAAGGAGGCTGCAGCAGCAGCAGCAGGGGCATCGGGTGAAGCACCAGCAGCAGCAGGGGCAGCGGCGGCGCCTGGAGATGTGGACATGAGTCAAGTGTTGGGCGATGCTTCCTTTGTCAACTCCATTCTCTCCTCGGTGTGTTGTTATCACATACCCTTGCTCTCCTCCTGCACATTGCATAATAAAAGAGTATCGCTCACATCACAGAGGGACTGTTTTTCCCATCGCACCACCCTGCATCTTATCCGTCAGCAGAGCGTGCATGCATCAGTCACTCCAGGTCCATCTTTACGCCTTCAATTATGACCTCTGCTTTTCATTGACTTTAGGGTTTCACCCAATCGTTTCCCCCCCCACTCCCCATCCCATGGCCCCACCCCACATCTGCTTTCACCCCTCATCCCATGCGCTTTCACCCGCTGTACCCATGTGTCCCTGCCACCCAATGTGTAACCCCATGTGCCCCCCATGCAGCTGCCAGGCGTGGATCCCAATGACCCCTCCGTGCGGGACGTGCTTGCCTCACTCGCGCCCTCCCAGCCCCCCAAGGTCTGCTCGCTTAGCCCTTTGCCCTTTGCCCTGTGCCCTTCATCCCGCACCCCTCCCCTTTCACTGCCCAACACTCACTCATCCAGGCTTTCTGTGTGGCTTTCTGTGTGGCTTTCTGTGTGGATTTCTCACGACGTGCACTTGTAATGATTCTGCACTGTGCATCTCGTGGTGTGTGACATGCTCTCATGCGACAGGATTCGGAAGAGAAGCCAAAGGAGGACAAGTGAAGAGAAAGCTTGGTTTAGTACGGTAGATGTCTGACAGTACTGTAGGTGATGTGCTATGAGATTTCTGGCATGCATTGCTTAAGGACCTCTGACACCACAACCACTCAGTATATAACAGTTTGTACCATCTCCAGCTTATGCTGTAACTTGCTGAACAAACAATCAAACACCTACCCTCCTGTTCACCGCTATACAACAACTCTACACAAACCCCCTCGAATGATACGTGAGTTTGCACAGCAGCATGATTTGCACAGAAACCAAACACGGAAGGAGAGCGAACAGCACTGTGTCAGAAGCTTCCAGGAACAGCAAATACGCAGCAAAACGGTGTGAGCACCTCATCGCAAAACGTACATTGTACCCACGATAACCAAAGGGGCACTTGGATGAGAACTAGTACTACCATGCGGTGAGTGAGACGCTGTGGAGCGGTCTTGATGCTCACACCCCAACTGCACATCAGCACGTAAGCAGAGGAGCAGGGTGGGTCTTCAGCTACCGTCCTGAAGCAGTTCAGAAAACAGTCTCAACTCAACGAGTCTTGGAACCGGTTGAAGGCAAGTCTTGAGCAGCCTTGAGCAGCCTTGAGCAGCCTTGAGCAGCCTTGAGCAGCCTTGAGCAGCCTTGAGCAGCCTTGAGCAACCGGTCTACCGTCCTGAGGCAGTCTTGAGCAGCCTTGCCACACATGAGCCTCCTTCATGCGAGCGTGCATCAGCAGCGGTGCAGCGGGGCAGGGTAGATATCCAGGTACTGGTACCGCCCTGGCTGCTCCGGGTTCCAGTCAGGGGGTGTGGCCGTGTCAGCGTCTTCCTCTGCCGCATCTGCCTCTGTTTCTGGCTCCAGCAGGTCTGAAAACATTTGCGGCTGCATGGAATGCACAATCTCCCCCGCCTCCTGCTCATGAGGGATTGGACAGGGACAACGGGGAGAGGGATGAGAAGGCAACGGAGACATGCGCTGAACAGGAGAACAGGCAGAACCAAGTCTCTGGCAGCATGTGTGGGTGCATTGAGTGCACAATCTCCCCCGCCCGCCTCCTGCTCACGAGGGATTGGACAGGGACAACGGGGAGAGGGATGAGAAGGCAATGGAGACATGCGCTGAACAGGAGAACAGGCAGAACCAAGTCTCTGGCAGCATGTGTGGGTGCATTGAGTGCACAATCTCCCCCGCCCGCCTCCTGCTCACGAGGGATTGGACAGGGACAACGGGGAGAGGGATGAGAAGGCAATGGAGACATGCGCTGAACAGGAGAACAGGCAGAACCAAGTCTCTGGCAGCATGTGTGGGTGCATTGAGTGCACAATCTCCCCCGCCCGCCTCCTGCTCACGAGGGATTGGACAGGGACAACGGGGAGAGGGATGAGAAGGCAACGGAGACATGCGCTGAACAGGAGAACAGGCAGAACCAAGTCTCTGGCAGCATGTGTGGGTGCATTGAGTGCACAATCTCCCCCGCCCGCCTCCTGCTCACGAGGGATTGGACAGGGACAACGGGGAGAGGGATGAGAAGGCAATGGAGACATGCGCTGAACAGGAGAACAGGCAGAACCAAGTCTCTGGCAGCATGTGTGGGTGCATTGAGTGCACAATCTCCCCCGCCCGCCTCCTGCTCACGAGGGATTGGACACAGGCAGTGGGGAGAGAGTGGGAAGACGGAAAGGCAATGTAGACACGCGTTAAAGGAGGACCCTACAGCTGTTTGATTGGAAAACACCCTAACAATGTTTGACTCCCTCACGCTGATACAAGAGGTGGTTCGTGAGGCGATCCAGAAAGGCCTGGTTGCACCTCAGCCCACAAAGCTCCTAGGCCCAGGACAGCCCATCAACCTGCAGTCCCCAGCTCAGCAGCAGCAGCAGCAGCAGCAGCAGCAGCAGCAGCAGCAGCAGCAGCAGCAGCAGCAGCAGCAGCAGCAGCAGCAGCAGCAGCAGCAGCAGCAGCAGCAGCAGCAGCAGCAGCAGCAGCAGCAGCAGCAGCAGCAGCAGCAGCAGCAGCAGCAGCAGCAGCAGCAGGAGGAGGAGGAGGAGGAGGAGGAGGAGGAGGAGGAGGAGGAGGAGGAGGAGGTGGAGGAGGAGAAGGAGGCACTCACGAGGCCGGAGATGCGGAAGTGCTCCACGAGGTGGTCCGTGAGTTTATCCAGAATGGCCCGGTTGCGCCTCAATGCATCCATTGCCATGCGCTCCGTTAGCTCTATGTTCTGATGGGTGGATGGATGATGGATGGTGGATGGTGGATACATGCAGAGTCAATGGGCGGATGTGGGAGGATGTGGCAAGGGAAGATGAGGGAGATGAGTGGTGGAGGTGAAGAGGAGAAGATGAGAGGAGGATAACACAGAAGAGAAAGAGAGGCGGAGAACAATCTAGGAGGAGAACAAAGAGATGAGCGGGAGAGGAGAGGGGGATGCGGCAATGACTGTAACTGTTACAAAGCAAGCAGTTGAAGAGATCGACAGATACCACATAAGCGGTCCCAATAGAAGTGACTTTTGAGTCGACTCAGAAGTCAAATGACTGTAACTGTTACAAAGCAAGCAGTTGAAGAGATCGACAGGTATAAGCGGTCCCAATAGCGTCCAAATCGATTGCGACAACTCACCCATGTGACTTCGCGTGTGAAGATCTCAGACATTTCCACTGACATGGATGCCACCTGCGTGCATTCTTGAGGCGCCTCGGAAATAGACTCCCACTCACCCAAGTGACTTCCCACTCACCCACGTGACTTCCCGTGTGAAGATCTCAGACATTTCCACTGACATGGATGCCACCTGCGTGCATTCTTGAGGCGCCTCAACAATAGACTCCCACTCACCCACGTGGCCCCCGACTCACCCACGTGACTTCGCGTGTGAAGATCTCAGACATTTCCACTGACATGGATGCCACCTGCGTGCCCGGCCGCGACCACTGGCGGTGGGAGGACACGAGAGGGTGGAGCAGGGCAGGGCAGGGAGGGCGGAAGGCAGAACAGGAATGGTTGGGAGTACACTTGACGACGTGAGCGGTATGGGGATGGGCAAGGTGATGGGCACGGAGATCGACACAAGGTCCAAGGTAGGAGTGATTGCCATGGATAAAATTCAATACCATTAGAGACTAGGTCAGCAAACCGTGCAGGAAACTTCCTAAGACGTTACAGTGCTCTGTGAGGACACGTACGGAGGAGGCGAGCTATGTGCTACCCTAAACCCCAAAACCTGAACCCCCCGAATCCCTACCTATGCCCTGAGCGTATGGAGGAAGGGATGAGCTATGAGCTACCCAAACCCCAGACCCAAGAGTACGGAGGAGGGGATAAGCTCGACTTCATCAGGGAAGCCCGGTGGCTCCATGATGGGGTGGGTGCATGGTGATGGGCATCAGGCCGAACCCTGAACCTTGACCTAAGCCCTGAATGTACGGAGGAAGGGATGAGCTATGAGCTACCCAAACCCCAGACCCAAACGTACAGAGGAGGGAATGAGCTCGACTTCATCAGGGAAGCCCGGCGGCTCCATGATGGGGTGCATGGTGATGGGCATCAGCCCAAACCGCGGATTCGCATGGCTGCTTGCTATCTCGCGTGCGATCTGGTGGGGTGCACGTGGGATGCATGGAGGGGAGAAGAGAGGACAAGAAGGGAGCCTCATGGTGTGGAGGGGATGGTTAGTAGGAAGGATTTAAACACCAACAGCCTACTCTTACTCAGGTTGCGTTCCTCACTCAGAAAAGCATACGTCACCTGCTAGAGCTTCATGAGGTCACCTTGGCCATTGTCCGTGACACGATCGTCGCTGAACACAAGGCGCTCAACATACATGCCGCCATGCGCCACCACCATCTTTTGAGACTCACTCAAAGCTCATTGGGAGCAACATTTCTCTCTCAGAGCAGCATTTCCCACTCGGAACAAAACCTCTCACCTGATAGAGCTTCATGAGGTCATCCTGGCCGTTGTCAGTGACATGGTCGTCGCCAAACACAAAGGGATCAAAGACACGCACACTAACCAGAGAAACTGCCGTATTCAGACTTCTCTCACCTGCGAGAGTTTCATGAGGTCATCTTGCCCGTTGTCCGTGACATGATCGTCGCCAAACACAAGACGACTTTTGAGTCGACTCAAAAATCTCCTACCTGCGAGAGTTTCATGAGGTCGTCCTGGCCGTTGTCCGTGACGTGATCGTCGCCAAACACAAGGCGCTCGGCACACATGCCGCCATGCGCCACCACCATCTGCATGTGTAGGTACCCGATGCTCGTGCTGCCCTTGAGTAGCATCTCCTGCCGCGGGTAGAACACCGACAGTGCCCGCTCCTGGAGATGCATGGGGGGAGGTGCGTGGGAGAGAAGAGGAGATGGATAGGAGGGGAGTTGGAGGGAGGGGAGTTGAATGGGAGGGGATTTGGAAAAGAGCGCAGCGGACAAGGTTGGTTGGAGGGCGAGTGAGGTCAGCGCACATGCCGCCATGCGCCACGACCATCTGCATGTGTAGGTACCCGATGCTCGTGCTGCCTTCAGCAGCATCTCCTGCCGCGGGTAGAACACCGATAGTGCCCGCTCCTGGGAGTGACAAGGGCGAGGGCGGGAAGCGGATTTGGAAAGGTGGTGAGTAGGAAGGGAGGGCAGCAGGCCAGGTTGGATGGAGAGCAAGTGAGCTGCAATAACGTATGAGATATATCAAGAGCAGAAACTCGGCAGCACCCGGTGCTGGCAATGCAAGCAGGAGGTGAACTGGGGGGTCAGAAAGAAGGACAAGCAGCCACCTGAGATACCACCTGAGATACCACCAACGCACCTGTGCTGTGCTTCCACGTGGGTGAGGGATGAAGCACCTGAGCGGCTGGCAAATTACCTGGCCGCCGGGGAGGATGTGGGTGAAGGCGTGCCAGTCAAAGGCGGGGAAGAGGTGTGAGAGCAGCACGTGGCCCGCCTCGTGAACTGCCAGCACCCTCCTCACCTCCGCTGGGACCTGCAGGGCAGGGCAGGGCAACAGGCAGGCGATGCATTGGGGGGTTGAAGGAAGATGGATTTGGTATATGCATGCCACAGGAGGTGTGAGAGCAGCACGTGCCCTGCTTCATGCACTGCCAGCACCCTCCTCACCTCCACTGGGACGTGCAGTGCAGAGCAGAAATCGATGCAATGGGGGGTTGAAGGAAGATGGTACTGGCATGGGGGCATACATGATGCACCGGATTGGCTGGATGGAATGTATGTGCGTGGCACACACATACTTACACTCGCATATATACACACTCACTGACTCACTCACACACACACATGAGCACACATGCCGCCCAAATGCACACACTCACCTTGGCAAACAGTCTCTGCTGCTCGTCGTCAGTCATGGAGATCCCAAGGCTCTCGAAGAGCTGCTTGTCCAGCGCTGCCACCACGTCGCCCTGCTCGATCACTGTGTGGCCGCGCCTCACTGCCATGATGCCCGCCTCGTTCACCAGATTGCGGATGTCCGCGCCTGAGAAGCCTATCGTGCGGAAGGCGACCTGGTACAAGGGGTGGGGGAGAGGGGTGGGAGAGAGGGGTGTGGGGAGGGGGGTAAGACGAGCGGTCGGTTGTGGTTTGTTTGGGCCAACTTGTGAGTGCAGCAGGCACACTACACCCTGCCGCACCACCATGATGCAGATCCATGATGCAGATCCATGATGCAGATCCATGATGCAGATCCATGATGCAGATCCATGATGCAGATCCATGATGCAGATCCATGATGCAGATCCATGATGCAGTGCACACTACACCCTGCCGCACCGCCTCTGAGGGCAGCCCCACGTGGATCTCACGGTCGATGCGCCCCGCCCACTAGGGCTCCTCACTCCCTCTTCCAGAGCATGAGATGAGAGTGAATCCCCCTTGACACTCACCTTGGAGAAGTCAACTGACAGAGCCAGCAACCGGTTCCGGGAGTGCACGCCAAAGATGGCGATGCGCTGCTCCTCACTGGGCAGCCCCACGTGGATCTCACGGTCGATGCGACCCGCCTTGGTCAGCCCCTCGTCCAACTCGTCCGGTCGATTGGTTGCGGCGATTAGGATCACCGATTGCCGCAGCGAGAAGCGGTCCACATCCGTGTGCTCCTCCCTGGTGGGGCGAGGGGGTTTGGATGGATTGGATGTGGTAGGTAGTTGTTGGATTGGATGAATAAACTTAACGTTGAAATCTTCTTGCACATTTCGGAAATTTGAACAGCAGTATCAAATTACCTACGTGCGGTCCTTCACTCCCAAACCTACTACCTGCATTCACTTTTTGAGTCGACTCAAAAATCAAATTACCTACGTGCGGTCCTTCACTCCCAAACCTACTACCTGCATTCACTTTTTGAGTCGACTCAAAAATCAAATTACCTACGTGCGGTCCTTCACTCCCAAACCTACTACCTGCATTCACTCGCCCTCCACCCTTCTCCCATATCTCCCCACCCCGCACTCACTCGCCATCCAGCTCAGCAGGGAACTCCTCATACACGTTCAGTTCAGCCATGTAGACTAGGCGAGCAGCAGTCTGGAAGAAACCTAGCAAACAAACAGTCAGTCTCGCCCGCGGCCCGTCCCCCGGCACTCACTCGCCGTCGAACTCAGCAGGGAGCTCCTCATACACACTCTCAACCATGCACACTAGGCGAGAAGCAGTCTAGAAGAAGAAAAACAAAAGCCAGCCCTGCCTGCCCACACAGTGCTGATGAAGGCCTGCTAGGGTAGCCCCTTACCAAGACCAGTTGGCCAGCCCTGCCAGCCCACACACGCTCACTCACTCGCTGTCCAGCTCGGCCAGGACCTCCCCTCATACACTTCGCGCCATGCAGACCAGGCGAGCAGCAGTCTAGAGAAACCTAGCTAAAACTTGATGATTTTCACCCCTTCCACCCTCCAACCCCCTTCAGCACTCACTCGCCGTCCAGCTCGGCCAGGAACTCCTCATACACGTCGCGCCTCTCCGGGTCCTTTAGCACACTCTTGCCTGCCAGGGCATCGATCTCGTCCACAAACAGGAATGCTGGCGCCTGGTTGAGACGGTGTGGGTGGGGAAAGTGGGGCAACAGACGTTGTGCATCAATCAGCGCCTTTTGAGGCGTCTCGAAGGGCCTCTCCGGGTCCTTCAGCCCACTCTCGCCCGCCAGGGCATCGATCTCGTCCACAAACAGAAACGCGGGCGCCAGAGAGGCGAGGAGGGGATGGAGGAGGGATGAGAGGAGAGGGGTGAAGACGTGTGTAGAGATCATGAGTACACAGTGTGCTTCGTAGGTCACATGCCATTCAACTCCATCGGAGTGACTTAGAGAATTCTTAAAAGTCACATGGGCACAAGCAGTATAGTTGGCAGTGAGCGGCTCAAACAGGCGGGATGCAGACAAGAGCACACACACCAAGATCTCCTTTCCGTCAAATAGCAGACCACCCACCCTTTCCAGTCTTGCCCTGCCAGCCAGCCTACACTCTCACTCCCACTTCCCGTTTGGCTCACACTGGCGCGCGTAGTGAAGAAGATGTTGAGCACCTTGTCCAGCCCACTCTCAGCCCTTCATTTGCTCCATCCATCCCTGTGACCCTGTCTCCTCTTCTTCCCACCCCCCTTTCAGACTCACATTGGCGCGCATAGTGAAGAAGATGTTGAGCACCTTGTCAAGCCCTCACTCTGAAGTGGAAACAACAAATTCCAATCCGGAAGTGAACACAAACAGCAGCCCGCACCCCCTCCTTTCCTCTGCTCCCTCCATCCCTGTTACCCTGTCACCCCTTCCGTCTCTCCCCCCTTCTCCACTCACATTGGCGCGAGCAGTGAACAAGTTGAACTCCTTGTCTAGCCCCGACACCGACATCAACCAGCAGGCAGCCTGCACTCTCTACCCGTGTCTCGCCTTGCTCTGCCACCTTCCACTCACATTGCCCCCTTTCCACTTCCCCCAATCTCCTCCCATGCACTCACATTGCCCCCTTTCCACTTCCCCCAATCTCCTCCCATGCACTCACATTGCCCCCTTTCCACTTCCCCCAATCTCCTCCCATGCACTCACATTGCCCCCTTTCCACTTCCCCCAATCTCCTCCCATGCACTCACATTGCCCCCTTTCCACTTCCCCCAATCTCCTCCCATGCACTCACATTGCCCCCTTTCCACTTCCCCCAATCTCCTCCCATGCACTCACATTGCCCCCTTTCCACTTCCCCCAATCTCCTCCCATGCACTCACATTGCCCCCTTTCCACTTCCCCCAATCTCCTCCCATGCACTCACATTGCCCCCTTTCCACTTCCCCCAATCTCCTCCCATGCACTCACATTGCCCCCTTTCCACTTCCCCCAATCTCCTCCCATGCACTCACATTGCCCCCTTTCCACTTCCCCCAATCTCCTCCCATGCACTCACATTGCCCCCTTTCCACTTCCCCCAATCTCCTCCCATGCACTCACATTGCCCCCTTTCCACTTCCCCCAATCTCCTCCCATGCACTCACATTGCCCCCTTTCCACTTCCCCCAATCTCCTCCCATGCACTCACATTGCCCCCTTTCCACTTCCCCCAATCTCCTCCCATGCACTCACATTGCCCCCTTTCCACTTCCCCCAATCTCCTCCCATGCACTCACATTGCCCCCTTTCCACTTCCCCCACCCACCCTCCTCCCATGCACTCATATTGCCCCCTTTCCACTTCCCCCACCCTCCTCCCATGCACTCACATTGGCTTGGCGCGTGCAGTGAAGAAGATGTTGAGCACCTTGTCAAGCCCACTCTCAGCCCTTCATTTGCTCCATCCATCCCTGTGACCCTGTCTCCTCTTCTTCCCACCCCCCTTTCAGACTCACATTGGCGCGTGCAGTGAAGAAGATGTTCCCACCCACCTTGTCCAGCCCCGACTCGAACATGAACAACAGGCAACCCACACTCTCAACTCAAGCCTTGCCTTGCCACCCACTCACACTACCCCCTTTCAATTAGACTCACATTGGCACGCGAACAGTGAAGAAGATGTTCCCACCCACCTTGTCCAGCCCCGACTCGAACATGAACAACAGGCAACCCACACTCTCAACTCAAGCCTTGCCTTGCCACCCACTCACACTACCCCCTTTCAATTAGACTCACATTGGCGCGCGAACAGTGAAGAAGATGTTCCCACCCACCTTGTCCAGCCCCGACTCGAACATGAACAACAGGCAACCCACACTCTCAACTCAAGCCTTGCCTTGCCACCCACTCACACTACCCCCTTTCAATTAGACTCACATTGGCGCGCGCAGTGAAGAAGATGTTGAAAACCTTGTCCAGCCCACTCTCAGAGGTGGAGTCAACAAACTCCGCCCCAGAGGTGAACACAAACGGCAGCCCACACTCGCGTGCAATGGACCGTGCCAACAGCGTCTTGCCTGTGCCCGGTGGCCCGCTGATCAAGATGCCCTGAGGGGAGGGAGGGAGGCGGGGTGCAGCGGGGAAAGGAGGTGGAACACGTGGGGTGTTGGGAAGGAGATGCTCTTGAGAATCTCAGAGGAGTGCCTCATGCACTGGCACCACGACGTTCCTCTTGCATCCAGGGAAGCATGCTGACGCTACTCTGGAAAGCTGCCCCCTTGCACTCACTCCTCGCACTTTGATGCCTTACATGCAAGTGGTACGTCGTCCGGCCATCCCCTCCTCAAGCACCTCCCCTGACACCCACCAAGCCCAGCTACTATCACCCCTCCACATCCCATGCGCCCCTCACTGCTGCACACGGCCCTCACGGCCCCCCACACACAGGGGAAGCAACTCACTCGGGGAAGCTTGATGCCCTGCGAGTGGAAGAGCATGGGGTCGCGCATGTACGCCATGACCTCCTCCAGCACCTCCCATATGTCATCCGCCATCACCACATCGTCGTACGCACTGCGCTGGCCCTCCCTGTGCACGTCCTCCGGCTGGAGAATGACGGACAGGAAGGGAGGGCGAAGGGTAGGGGGAAGGGGGGTGAAAGGAGGGAAGAAGAGGGAAGGGAAGGGGGAGGCGTCAGAGGAGGAGAACGGGAGAGGGGGTGAGGTTATTTGGAGTGAAAATGTCATCCGCCATCACCACATCGTCGTACGCACTGCGCTGCCCCTCCCTGTGCACGTCCTCCGGCTGGAGAAGAGGGGAAAGTGGGTAAAGCGGGTGAGGTGGGGGAGGCGAGGGAAGTGGGGGTGGGGAAAGAGAAAAACAATTGAGGCGCCTCAAATGTCCACACGGGATGTAGTTTTGAGACGTCTCAAAACGGGATGTAAGTTAGCCAGAGTTTGGGCCTTTGAGAATTCTCAAAAGAAATAACATGCCAAAAGGGTGTCGCAAAGAGTTGACTTTTGAGTCGACTCAAAAGTCAACCCAGAGTTTGGGCCAAAGAAATAACATGCCAAAAGGGTGTCGCAAAGAGTTGACTTTTGAGTCGACTCAAAAGTCAACCCAGAGTTTGGGCCAAAGAAATAACATGCCAAAAGGGTGTCGCAAAGAGTTGACTTTTGAGTCGACTCAAAAGTCAACCCAGAGTTTGGGCCAAAGAAATAACATGCCAAAAGGGTGTCGCAAAGAGTTGACTTTTGAGTCGACTCAAAAGTCAACCCAGAGTTTGGGCCAAAGAAATAACATGCCAAAAGGGTGTCGCAAAGACAGAAACCGCCTGGCCAGATAACACTTACCAGCAGCAGCTGCGACCTGTCCATGTAAATGTAATCATGGATCTTCTCGTCCACACGCCTCTTGAAGACGGTCTGCGCCGCCCCGATGCCGCCCAGCAGCAGCAGCGAGGGCAGCAGGGCGGCCACCCCGCGCAGGAAGAAGAGGCGCGAGCGTGGCAGCATATCCACGTTGACTCCCTTGAGCAGCAGCGAGGGGTAGAGGAAGGGGTCGATTGGAATGTCCACCTGGTGGTGCCAGGTGTTGCAGGGGTGAAGGGGCGCACACATAAGGATTCAGAGGTAATGAGTGAGTGGCTTGGGTTTGAGTTGTCAGGTTTGGGTTTGAGTTGTCAGGTTTGGGCTTGAGTTGTCAGGTTTGGGCTTGAGTTGTCAGGTTTGGGCTTGAGTTGTCAGGTTTGGGCTTGAGTTGTCAGGTTTGGGCTTGAGTTGTCAGGTTTGGGCTTGGGTTTAGAGGTTTAGGAAGCCGACACCTCGGCCACAAGGAGGAGCATGTCGACGGTGCCACCCTTGAGTTGAGCAGCAGCGAGGGGTAGAGCAAGGGGTCTATGGGAACGTTCACCTGGTGGGGTGGGCGTGTACCGTATAGGGTTCAGGGGATAAAGGGCTTGGGTTTAGGGCTAGAGCCCTGTCTAGTCTAGAGGCACTGAGGCGCCCACAGCATGTCAACAGTGACGGCCTTGAGCAGCAGCGAGGGGTAGAGGAAGAAGTCGATTGGGATGTCCACCTGGCGGGGTGCGAGTGCGCGGATTTATGGTTCAGGGGTGAGGGATGGGGGATAAGGGGCATGGGTGGAGGGGCAGCAGCGGCTACAACTATGCCAGCGACACTGACGTCCACCTGACCTGACAGGGTGAGGGTGCACGGATGAGAAGTTGGCGTAACGACTAAGTCCCCTCACATTGCGTTCAGCCCATAACCATGGTCCATGCACTGAATCCCTCACCTTGAACTCAGCAGGATACCCCTCTTGCATGGTGACGAACAACCGGCGCATGTCAGCAGAGAACACCGCTGTGGCAGCTCACTCCCCTGATGTACAGCCGGCGCATGTCAGCAGAGAACACCGCTTTGGCAGCTCACTCCCCTACCCCTCCACTCCCCCTCCACTACCCCTCCACTACCCCTCCACTACCCCTCCACTACCCCTCCACTACCCCTCCACTCCCCCTCCACTACCCCTCCACTCCCCCTCCACTACCCCTCCACTCCCCCTCCACTCCCCCTCCACTCCCCCTCCACTACCCCTCCACTACCCCTCCACTCCCCCTACCCACCCTGCCCCAACAGCGCACCTGGAGGTCAGCGGGAAACCCGTCCTTCGTGATTGAAGAAGTGTTTTGAGACGTCTCAAAACACTTCTTCAATCACGTGCCCCAACACCTCACCTTGAACTCGGCGGGAAACCCGTCCTTCATGGTGACGTAGAGCCGGCGCATGTCAGCGGTAAACACAGCAGCGTCCACCTCGTTCGTCTGTATCTTGTGCAGCAGCCACACGTACGGCATGCCCGGTCGGTGCTTCCACCACCGCCGCTGCAGCCACACCGCCGGGCTGTCCGCCTCGCCCTCCCCCCTTGCGCGCCTCGACATCTCCTCCTCCTGCTGCGCCTTGATCAGATCCCAGTCGTACACGTACTCGTAGCTGGGAGGAGAAGGGGGAGGGGGAGGGCAGGGGGAAAGGGAAAAGTTGCATTTACAGGCAACTCTCTACCCATCTCCTCCTCCTGCTGTGCTTGGAATAGATCCCAGTGGTACACGTACTTGTAGCTGGGAGGGGGGGGAGGTGGGGGGGTTATGGGGGAAAGAGGGCACGGAGAGCTGTTCAGTAAAGCAGTGCTCTCACTGGCTGGAGGGCGCTTCAAACAGGTCCTCGATATCGCCCTCCACCACTGCTTGCTCACCCACAAGCTCCCCCTCATGAAACCCCCCATAACGATTCAGTGACCTGTTGAAATAAATATTGGTGCTCTCACCGGCTGGAGGGCTCTTCAAACAGGTCCTTGATATCGCCCTCCACCACGGCCTCCTCCCACCGCTGCAACCGCTCCCTCCACCCGCCCTTGCTGCTGCTGGCAGCCGCACCAGCAGAAACAGCAGCAGTAGTTGTGGCACTGCTGCTCGTGGCACCAGCATCCTCACTGCCACGTGTCAGCAGCCCAGTGGCCGTGGATCGGTCCAGAGAGCCTTGATCCTGCCATGCGGTTTCACCCACGAAGGAAGGGTCCTTCTCCCACCGCCCGTCTCGGTCCATCCTCCACTTCACCACCGATAGCCCTCGTGGCGCCTGCGCACGCCACCGCTGCTCCCGCACACTGAGGGAGCGGGCGAGATGGAGCGAGAGAGAAGAAGATATGGAGGGAAGGGAAGGAAAGAAGGGAGGGGAAACGTGAGGGGAGAGCAGGCGGGGTGGTTGAGGAGAGAAGATGCACCCATCAACTGCCCGTCGCGGTCCATCCTCCATTTCACCACCAATAATCCTGGCGGGGCCTGCACCGCTGCTCGCGCACGCTTCATATATCCGTTTCTCCCTACCGCTCCTCACCCCCTCCCCATCTCTCCCCCCTCTCCCACCTTCCTCCCTTGTTGTGTCCCGTGTTGTTCCCTTCACCCTCCTTCCCCAACCGCTGTGTGACTCACAGGCGGACGTTTTCAGGGGTGGGCTCCGGAAGAGCAAACTCCAGAAACTGCTCCACATTCTTCCCTGTACAAATCCATCCCTGCCCCATCCCCCTCTCCTTTCCCCCTGCCCGCGCCCGTGCTCCCTCCCTCCTCCCCTTCCCCTGTGACTCACAGGCGGACGTTTTCAGGGGTGGGCTCTGGAATAGCAAACTCCAGAAACTGCTCCACCGAGGCCGGCCGGCTTGCCAGCCTGGCAGCTACAGTGCGGCCCGCCGCCCAGCAGAAGACAGCTGTAGCAGCGAGGTAGAGGGCCGCTACAACCCACCGTAGCGCCGTCCACGACTGGGGTTGCTGTAGCATGGCCAGTTTGGCCGGGGGGAGAGGGGGGCGTGGATTGGGGGGAGTTTGAGTCAAATCGGCTGTAGCGGCGAGGTAGAGCGCCGCTACAACCCACCGCAGCGCCTTCCAAGACTGGGGTTGCTGTGCGTGACCCCATGAATGCCCAGGCAGAGGAGGGAAGGGGGAAGCCAGGAAGGAAGGGGGAAGGAGGGAAAGGTGTGGGAAAAAAGGGGGAGGAAACGGAGGTTGAGAGGAATTTGACGGACCTGAAATGGTCTGGAGGGGAGGGGAAGGGAGGTGGAGGCGGTGGGGGGAGGGGAATGGAGGATTTGGGCTGCACGGGAATCGCTGTGAAGCAATGTGGAGCGGGAAAACCCTGAACCCTGATTTCCCAGTAGCAACATTGCTGTGTCCTTGAGCCTTCCGCCTTCCGCGGTTTTATGCTGATCCCCCAGAGCGTTCCCTGCCACGTCACTCACCTTCCATTGGTCCACTTGGTGCCACCGCTTCGCAGCCAGCAGCTTTGGAAGGCCGCGCCGCTTCACTGCTGCTGCTTGCTCGCGGGCAGACCCGAAAATATTCTCTACTGCCCCGAACACAGCTGCCCGAATCGCAGCAAGAAGAAATTGCGCGGCTCGGAGGTCCGTCCTAAATTCCTCCTTAATATCCTCCACTACCCCATCCAGTGATTTTGCTTTTAAGAAGCTCGCTCCGGGTTCTGAATCTGCATTTCCATCGGCGTCACTCGGTGCGTCCCCGCGATCCTCGCCTCTTCTGCCGCCGGTATTCGCGGCGCGGCAAGGTGATCCTAATGGCCGTGAAACTCGGAGAAGGCGAGGCGAGCCGGTGAAACCAGGGGAGAGGCGAGGAACGAAGGAGGAGGTCAACAGAACACGGGGTCCCGATCGCCGCTGACACGTGATTGTACGGCCACGTGGCGCGAGGAGAAGCGAACTTGCTGCTAGTGCGCTGTTACCTATTGTGGACATTGTCGTTAGTGGACGCTCTTGGTGGCGGGAAACGCGGGAATCAATGTAATCGGGACGAAGAAGGGTTATGGCGTGCCCTGTGGGTGAATCGAGCCGCAGAGACGTGGCCATAAGCTCGACTATCGATTGAGTCACGCCGTCAAACAAGGCGCCGCGCTGACATTCGTGCAACAGCTCGGCGCGCCCTAAACATCCACTTATCAGGCAAACATCCAATCCAACACGAGTGTTTCCAACTGGAGAGCGCATGCACTGAGCAAAGCCACACGATGAAACGAGCTTTCGCGAAAAATGTAGGTGGTGACCACGAGTCGCCGTGGTGCAAGGTTACTGAAATTTCTTCTCTGCAAAAAATGTTATTACATCCATCTCTCATACACTGTTTTCACTTTGCTGAAGCATTACAAGCAGGTACAAAACTAGGGTGTGTAGCTGTTTGGTTGTGCTTGTGCTGAAGCCTCCATGCATCAAGATAAATCTTCACTTGCAATATCTGCACACAAAAACACATAAGCAGTGTATATATAAAAAAAATGAGCTCATGTGCACGCCCACATCTTATGCTAACAAATGAGCGACAATTAATTAGCATATATCAAGCTGCACAACCATTTCAGTGCAAATTATAAGCCAGAACAATACCTGCAGAAGTGTGTCGACCGCATCATCCCCCTCCATGCCCTCCAAATCCGCCACCCACTCCCCCACCTCCTTCCCCTGCGCTCTCTGCCGCCCCGCCTCCAGCAGCACCGCCGACCGGTAAAACCACCGCATCCAGACAAGGCTCGCCGCCCGCTGCATGGCCCGCACTTGGCGGGATGAGAAGGAGTTGAGAACGGTGACGAGGTTGGGGATGTCAGCTTCTGCTATTCGCACTGCGAATGATGGGTAGTCCAAGAAATTCTCAAATGGCAGCTCTATGCCATCCTGCCATGCCATGCCATGCCATGCCATGCCATACCATGTCATGCCATCAGAATGCCGCATCCATAGCAGGAGGAGGAGCAAGAGATGGAGTTGAGACCCTTCTTCAGCCAAAGCAGAAAAGAGTTCCCTTTGGAGCAAGGGCTGGCAAACGCATTTCCAGATACATATGTACGTTATGAACATATGAGCTTTCATACACGCATATAAGCAGGGCAGGGCAGGGCACCTGGATGATACAGGGGATGCAGCCATGCAGCAGACTGTCCTCCATGCGCGCACTGAAGCCATCCCCCGGAAACACCCCGCAGAATCGCGCCTGTGATAGCTGCACCAAGGAGGAGGAGGGAAATGAGGGGACGTGGGAGAGGGAGATAGGGAGGGTGAGAAGGGGCGGAAAGAAATTGGGGTGAGAATGGGCGAAAAGGGGTGGAGGGTGAGACAGGGGTGGAGATGGGTGGATGCAATGGTGCAATACTCGCCCCCTCTGGTCCCTCTGCCCCTTCTGCCGCCTCTGCTCTCAGTCCCCCCACCTGCAGTGCATAATCAGGGACGGGCCCTGGCAGCACGAGCACATCAGGTCTAGACAGCAGCCCCACGTGGCCGTGCCGGTTGGGCTGCGATGCAAAGTAGAGCGCCACTCGCTGCCGGATGCCCATGCTGTAGCTGCCGTGAGTGTTGGGGACGAAGGAGGACGGGAGAAAAGGGGAAGGGGGAGAGGGTGGGTGATGAGAAGCCTTCAACGAAACGGAGAGTATCACTTTCTTCCCTCTGCCTTTCTCTGGCTGTCCTCAAGCAAGTGGGGCCCTAGGAAGTGCGACTATTGCAGCTCTGTGCGAGCGACCATGCGTACTTGGCCTATGAGTGCGTGCAGTGCACCAACCTACTTGGCCTCTGGGCGGCCGTTGGAGAAGTTGAGCCCCAAGTTGCCTCCAAAGAAGAACAAACGCTTCCGTTGCTCCACTGGACTGCCATGGGGCAGGGGGGAGCATAGGGAGCAGCAAGAAGCATTGGCAGAGAAGACCATGAGAGCACGGGGCAGCAACGAGGGGGTGATTGCAGTGAGAGCCAAAGCGAGAGGGCAGGGGGTAATGGAAATGGTCCAGAGGGGGAAAGATACACCTATGGATAGTCAACCAGGGAGGAAAGAAAAGGAACGAGAAGATGGAAAGGAAAAGAAACCAAAAGCAGTGAAGCAGAAACGAAGAGCAAAAAGGGACCATCCTAGTGTCACATACGCCTCCCTGTTTCTGCTTGTCTCTCTCCCCCCAATGCCTACTTGAGCCACAGCCGCCCCCTGAGGTGCGCCACATTGGGCGGCTTGAAGGCCGGCATGACCACGTCCTTTAGCGGGTCGAAGCACGGGTGCCGCCCGCGCAGGGATGGCGGGATGTCGTGCCAGCTGTCGAGGAGATAGGCAGTGGTGGAGTGGTTGTGGGCGGCCATAGTGTTGCCCCAGTGAGATAGCCTGATGCCGTTAAACACGTCTTTAGGGGCGCTGCACGCTCCCTCGTCCCAGGGGAAGGACTGGCGAAGGTAAGAGAGGAGAGAGAGGGGGCAACGGAGGAGAGTGAGGGAAGCGGGGAATGGAGTGGTTGTGGGCGGCCATGGTGTTGCCCCAGTGCGATAGCATAATGGCCTCAAACACGTCCCTAGGGGCGCGCTGCAGGCACCTTTCTTCCCAAAGGAAGGTGTGCATTTAGATGACAGAGACGACAGATTTGGTAACAACGTTAGCAGGGGCGGCAGGGTAGTGGGCGGCAGGGTAGTGGGCGGCAGGGTAGTGGGCGGCAGGGTAGTGGGCGGCAGGGTAGTGGGCGGCAGGGTAGTGGGCGGCAGGGTAGTGGGCGGCAGGGTAGTGGGCGGCAGGGTAGTGGGCGGCAGGGTAGTGGGCGGCAGGGTAGTGGGGCGGCAGGGTAGTGGGCGGCAGGGTAGTGGGCGGCAGGGTAGTGGGCGGCAGGGTAGTGGGCGGCAGGGTAGTGGGCGGCAGGGTAGTGGGCGGCAGGGTAGTGGGCGGCAGGGTAGTGGGCGGCAGGGTAGTGGGCGGCAGGGTAGTGGGCGGCAGGGTAGTGGGCGGCAGGGTAGTGGGCGGCAGGGTAGTGGGCGGCAGGGTAGTGGGCGGCAGGGTAGTGGGCGGCAGGGTAGTGGGCGGCAGGGTAGTGGGCGGCAGGGTAGTGGGCGGCAGGGTAGTGGGCGGCAGGGTAGTGGGCGGCAGGGTAGTGGGCGGCAGGGTAGTGGGCGGCAGGGTAGTGGGCGGCAGGGTAGTGGGCGGCAGGGTAGTGGGCGGCAGGGTAGTGGGCGGCAGGGTAGTGGGCGGCAGGGTAGTGGGCGGCAGGGTAGTGGGCGGCAGGGTAGTGGGCGGCAGGGTAGTGGGCGGCAGGGTAGTGGGCGGCAGGGTAGTGGGCGGCAGGGTAGTGGGCGGCAGGGTAGTGGGCGGCAGGGTAGTGGGCGGCAGGGTAGTGGGCGGCAGGGTAGTGGGCGGCAGGGTAGTGGGCGGCAGGGTAGTGGGCGGCAGGGTAGTGGGCGGCAGGGTAGTGGGCGGCAGGGTAGTGGGCGGCAGGGTAGTGGGCGGCAGGGTAGTGGGCGGCAGGGTAGTGGGCGGCAGGGTAGTGGGTAGTGGGCGGCAGGGTAGTGGGCGGCAGGGTAGTGGGCGGCAGGGTAGTGGGCGGCAGGGTAGTGGGCGGCAGGGTAGTGGGCGGCAGGGTAGTGGGCGGCAGGGTAGCTCGGGGGGGCCGGCAGGGTAGTGGGCGGCAGGGTAGTGGGGCGGCAGGGTAGTGGGCGGCAGGGTATGTGGCGGCAGGGTAGTGGGCGGCAGGGTAGTGGGCGGCAGGGTAGTGGGCGGCAGGGTAGTGGGCGGCAGGGTAGTGGGCGGCAGGGTAGTGGGATGCGGAGAAGAAAAACGGAGAGAGATAGGGGATGGAGTGTTTATGGCTGGCCAGGGGACCGGGAAGTGCGGGTTGGTGTGCGGCGACGGAAGGGACAGAGGCGTAGGCATCATTAGGGAGGATGTGAAGCAGGCTTGGGGAGGCAGTGTATTTAATGACTTAGAAGTGACTTAGAAGTCACCTAGGGGTGGGCACCATTCACTTTCCGTGAGTCCCCTCAAGGCTCACCCAGATGTGGTCGCGGCCGTGTGTTGTGTTCCAGAAAGGGTAGGCAGATCGGATGTGCTCCAGTGCTTGCTGGTAGTAGTCTGCTGCGAAATATGACCGACGGTTCTTGAACTTGCCCTGCCATGGGGAGGGGTGGGGAGTGGTGCGTGTATGTTTAAAGGGCCACAAAGATAGGCTCGCTGGTAGTCGTAGTCCGCTGCAAAGAGCGACCGACGGTTCTTGAACCTTCCCTGTGAGATGAAGAGGTGGGAGGTGGGGTGTGGTCGTCAGCCCCGGCCCGGCAGTGATGCACAGGCATCCCATGCAAATCCAGGGCACACTGCAGAGATCCACACATACACTTACACTAGCGAACATGCCATGGCATACCATACTAGAGCTCTCACAAGAGCAGCACAACCACGCACCTGCATGGAGGTGGCAGGCGAGTCGTCAGCGCGTGCAGTGATGCACGCACCCATGACGGGCACAAAGAAATAGTCGGCTGCCGATGCATTGGTTGTGCGATGTGGACTGGCGAGCAGCGACTCTAACACTGCCACCTGACTGACGGTATGTGCAGTGGGAGAGGGGGGAAACGGAGGTTGGGAAGAGAAAGCCCACTTATCACGAGCACCTGCATGGAGGTGGCGGGCGAGTCGTCAGCGCGCGCAGTGATGCATGCACCCATGACAGGCACAAAGAAGTAATCGGCTGCCGTAGCATTGGTGGTGCGATGGGGGCTGGCCAGCAGTGACTCTAACACTGCCACCTGACTGATGGGAAGGGAGGGGAGTGGGGAGGAGGGAGGGTACCCAAGACCCAGAAAGAGTGGGAAGTGGTTGTAACATGCTCTTGAGTCGACTCAGAAGGCTCTCAATATCAGAGTTAGTGCAAGTGCAAGTGCCATACAGCCGCGAGTGGTGGTGGCTAGGGCATGCTGCCATGACTAAGTCCGAATGCCTGCTCACTTCCATACTGGGGAGGTGCGAGTGGTTGCACAAGGTCTCATTGCGCTTGCCGTACTGCCGCCAGTGGTGGGTCAGGGCATGGCATGGCATGCTAGTGAATGCCCATGCCCATTGCTCACCTCCATGCCATACAGCTGCAAATGGTTGTAGAGGGTCTCGTTCCTCATGCCATACAGCCGCTACTGGTGGTGGCTAGGCTAGGGCATGCCAATGAGTGCCCTGCCCATGCCTGCACACATGTGGTTTTGAGACGTCTCAAAACCTGCCAATGCCTGCACACATGTGCCCACTGCTCACCTCCATGCCATACAGCTGCAAGTGGTTGTAGAGCGTCTCGTTCCGCATGCCATACAGCCGCGTGGTGCAGTACGCACGGATCTTCCTCGCCTCGAGATGGTGGAACGTGAACTCCCCCGGCAGGTCGTACATGTAGATCCATCTCTCTAGTCGCGAATCAAGCTCCCAGCTCACTCACCTCCATGCCGTAGAGCTGGAAGTGGTTGGAGAGCGTCTCATTGCGCATGCCAGACAACCGCCAGTGGTGATGGCTACGGCATGCCAATGAGTGCCCTGCCAATGCCTGCACACATGTGCCCACTGCTCACCTCCATGCCATAGAGCTGGAAGTGGTTGTAGAGGGTCTCGTTCCTCATGCCATACAGCCGCGTGGTGCAGTAGGCGCGGATCTTCCTTGCCTCAAGATGGTGGAATGTGAACTCTCCCGGCAGAACATAGACGTAGATCAACGGCCGCCTCCGCCGCACCCACCGCCTGCTGCTGCTGCCAACTGCCGCCCTGCCCCGCCGCTGCTCCCACTGCCTCCTCACGAATGGCTTCACCTGCCGCTGCGCTGCCAGGTTCACCACCCTCCTCTGCCACCCTGACTTGGCGCCTGCAGCAGCAGCAGCAGCAGCAGTAGCAGTAGCAGCAGCAGCAGCAGCAGCAGCAGCAGCAGCATCACCACCATCAGTAGCACCGGCAGCAGAAGCAGCACCAAGACGAGCCTGTGGCCCGTGATGCGTGTCCTCCCTGCCTGCACCATGCAGCACACGGCGGCGCTGCACATCCCCAGGAGGGGTGTTGCCTGCAGCATCGCCAGGTGTGACAATGGATTCATCATACGGGTCTCCAACGCTGCTTCTGCTGCCTCTTTCCCCATCTGTGCCGGCCAACGGTGCATCGACAGCCGTTGATGCCACGTCAGCGGGCGGCGAATCCAGCTGGAGCGATGCAGATGGGTGGTTGAAGAGTGCACGAGGCGTGAAGGCGGACGGCACACTGCAGTCCATGCCAAAGAAACCGTGCGAACACTGGAGGGAGGAGTGGATGGGATGGGACAGAGAATGTAAACAAGTGAATCGGGGCAGAGTAGAGAGCCCAGGAGAGAGGCGGACGGCACACTGCAGTCGATGCCGAAGAAACCGTGAGAACACTGGAGAGAGGAGTGGGGGGGAGTGTTGAGGAGTGGATGGGATGAGATGACATTTGAGTCGACTCAAAAGTCGAGCGGACGGCACACTGCAGTAGATGAAAAAGAATCCGTCTGAACACTGGAAGGGGGTGGACAGCACGAGATAACATTTGAGTCGACTCAAACGCCCAGGTCACCCACGCCCTTCTGCCCAACCACTCACCTCACAGTACCCTCTGTGGCAGGAGCCGTGCAGCGAGCACTGGTTGAGGCAGAATGACTCCACACGCACGTCACAGAAGGGGCCCAGAAAGCCGTCCACATCGCACATGCTGCACCCCGTGTAGTCCCACTGGAAGCCCACTCGCGGGCGTGGCGCACTCACAATATCCCCAAAGCACATAAGAGACACGTGCATCCACCCATGCAACCCACCCACCCACGCACGCACCTCGCAGTACCCTCTGTGGCAGGACCCATGCAGCGAGCACTGGTTAGCACAGAATGACTCCACACGCACGTCACAGAAGGGCCCTAAGTACCCGTCCACGTCGCACACGCCACACCCCGTGTAGTCCCGCTGAAAGCCCAGGCATTGAGAGCCCACTGGGGGTTTGCCCACGCACCTGGCAGTATCCTCTGTGGCAGGAGCCGTGCAGAGAGCACTGGTTGAGGCAGAATGACTCCACACGCACGTCACAGAAGGGCCCCAAGAAGCCGTCCACATCGCACATGCCGCACCCCGTATAGTCGCGCTGAAAGCCCACTCGCGGGTCTGCGTTGCAGTAGCCGGTGTGGGCATGGAAGAGCAGGACCGTGTCCACCTCGCTGTAAACAAAGTCGTGGCTCCTGGGGGGATGGGGTGGGATGGTGGGTGAGAGGCACAGACAGTCACAGAGCTGGCGTTGCAGTAGCCGGTGTGTGCGTGGAAGAGAAGGTCCATGTCCACCTCGCTATAGACAAAGTCGTGGCTCCTGCGGGGATGGGGAGGGGAGAGGGGGAGGAGAGGAGGGTAACGCAGGTGCAGTGGTAGGCAGTAGCACGGACAGGGCAGAGCTGCCATTGCAATGACCAGTGTGGCAGTGAGCCGGGAAGACTTTTGAGTCGACTCAAAAGTCAACCAGTGTGGCAGTGAGCCGGGAAGATGCATGTTATCCAGGCAGCTACAGACTCATTGCCACGTGTGCACTGCACCCATGCACCCATGCACCCATGCACCCATGCACCCATGCACCCATGCACCCATGCACCCATGCACCCATGCACCCATGCACCCATGCACCCATGCACCCATGCACCCATGCACCCATGCATCAATGACCCAGGCCCTACCTGTATACGAAGCCACAGGGGTGGGTGATGGGGCGGTGGGGGAATCGCGTGCCATTCCCACAGAAGCAGAGGGCGGTGGAGGTGTCGCAGTGAGCCGGGCAGATGGACGCCACCCAGGTACCCACGGGCCACTCGGGTGACGCGGGCAGGTTGCACTGGTGCAGGTGCAACTGCGAGCAGTCAGGGCCTGCAGTGGATGCATTGGGAGAGGCAGAAGGGAGTGTGGCGTGACAGGTAGGAGCAGGGGAGCCAGTGGGAGGGAGCAGTGGCAGATGGACGCCACGCCACCCTATGAAGTTGGGAACAGCGGGGCTCTTTCACCCCGCGAACAATTTCAACACGTAATAACCTCCTGAGTATCAGTGTATGCTATGCACTACACCTGAGGATTTACCTGAGAACCCGTGTCGGCACCTGCAGTCCCCCAGCTCGTGCTTACACACGCCGTTGCCACTGCAGTTGCCGGGACACGCCTGGGAGAAGAGCGCCTGGGGGACACAACCACCATGGACCCAACCCGACAGGAAGGTGCGATTAAGAGAGGCCCTCTTTGGGAAGGGCTGGCGAGGGGCGTACCAAACTCTTAAAAAGAGGCTCGCTTTGGACGCACAGACAATTCGAGTCAACTTCTTTTCGCCCCTTTCCTTTCCCTTCAGGCCCCTTCCAATCTATCCTCCGCGCTCTCCTGTCCCTCCACCCATCATCCTCCCAACCATCCTGCATACACGCACCTCGCCTACAGTCACGGGCGGCAGCTGGTCGCCACACGCCAGCAGCCACCGCCCCACGTCAGCCTTCCACGGCGCCCCTCTGTACTCCACACCGCTGCTGCTGTCCCACGTGCTATCACCACCGTTACTGTCACCACCGCTACTGCCACCGCTAACGCCGCCATCTCCGCCGATTTCTCCGCCCTCGCCCGCCCCTCGATGCCCCACCTGCGACTCCTCCTGCCCATTAGGAGCCACCTGTGCGACCTGTGCGACGTTCCTGTTCCACGGGTGCAGCCCCCACACGTCGCACGCGATGAGCGCGGCAGCGACGACGACCAGCAGCACGACTTGTGCCACGTGGACAGCCCCCGGGCCACGCGGCAGCGTACCGCCCGCTGGCGCTGGCGCCGCGGGAGCGCTGCCACGTCGGCTGGGCGTGATTGGCTGGAAGACGCGAAAGGAGGTTCCGGGAGCAGCGATTGGTGCAGATGCTGCCGGCTGGAGTCCCGGCCGGCGGAAGAAGAGGGGTGGGAGGAAAGCCGGCATGGGTCCTAGCGACGCGGCAAATGAGTGATAACCGGTGGCGAGGAGAGGAGAGGAGGGGAGGAGAGAAGGACCTGGACGCGCCTCAATGGTGGTCTCAACGCAATAACGAATCCCGCAATAACGAATCCGCGACTTCATATTCCACGGGTCGTAACGCCACCATCACCACGAGCAAGCGCGTTAGCCCCGACCCACGCCATGGTTAATGCGAACAGAATTCACCGTGCCTCGTGCCTCGTGCCTCGTGCCTCGTGCCTCGTGCCTCGCTCACCATGAGGCCATGTCATTCATGTGCCAGGTGAGGAGGGCGAAAATCTCGAGGAACTCGAAAATCTTTGCCGCAATCGAATTTGTGACATTGCCGACTACACTAATGCGGTGTACAGAAATTGTGGGTGTAATTGTAAGAGTTTGCACAAACGAGGACGATGGCAGGGAACTCAATCCCCTTCATCCGTCATTTCCCTTGCATTTTCTTCGGAGCTTCACTGCCATTTACAACGCACTTGAGTGAACTGTCTCAAAAGTGGTGAGCCGCCATGTCGGCTGCAAGCGCGACGGCCGCGTTCCCGTCGCTTGACGGCTCGCCGCAGCTTTTTCGAGCCCCGTTTCAGTCACTTTCGGTAAAATCTGGGTCAGGATCCCAACGGCAGTCCCACCTGATCCTGCGCCATTCCGTCCCATGCGGACGCATCACTCATCCTGATCGTCCCAATGCTCCCGTGCATTTAAACCCCCTGCCGCGGTTGGCTCTTTATTCCCGGCCGCGCCGGGCGGTACGCACAGCAGCTGCGCCTACCCCAGTTGTTGCCGCGACTGCGGCGGCTCCGCGGGGCGGTAGCGACGGCGAATACGACAGGAATGACCAGTGGGACGACTCGCGCCCTCGTCGCTCTGAGGATTACGAAGATGACTATAACGAGGATTTCTTTGCCAGCGACGTGGCGTTGCCGCCTGGCGCGCGGTTCGGGAAGAGAGACCAACCGGATGAGAGCTGGATAAACGACTCTGATTGGTCGAGGGGATCCGCGGGGCCGGGCAAAGCGGGGCAGGGAGGGGAGAGGGAAGGATCTCGCGGAAGGCGGCAGCAGGGGGACCGCGGGGGGGTGCAGGGGAGTCGGGGGGGAAGGAGCGGGAGAGACGGGGAAAGCGTGGGGGCGGGTAGGGGGAGGATGAGGGGAAGCGCAGGCGGGGGGGATGGCTGGGGGGAACTCGAGGAGGCGGAGGGAGCAGCGGAGAGGCGCAGGGTTTTAGAGGAACAGGGGATTGCGCAGCAGCGGCGGGGTTTGGGGTTTAAGGGAGGGAGGGGAGGATACGGCGGTGGCGAAACGGGGAGGTTCCGGGCGGGGGAAGCGAGAGAAAGGAGCGGCGCTGGGAGGGAAGAGACTAGTCTTGCTCCGGGTTCAGGGTTTAGGAGGGAGCGGGAGGGTTTACCTGAGGAGAGGAGGGAGGAGAGGAGTGAGATGGGAGTGAGAAGGGAGGCGCGAGAGGAGGGGTGGAAGGCGCGAGAGCAGAGGGGTTATGGGAGGGAAGGAAGGGGTGGGGGGTGGGTTGGGGAATCCAGGCGTGTGGGTGGTGGGGACGAGGAGGGCATGGAAATAGGGGACATGATGAGCAGAGGTAGCAGCAGCAGCAGCAGCAGAGGCAGCAGGGGCGTGAGCAGGCGGCAGTGGGGGGAGTATGGGGAGGAGGACAGGGACGAGGCAAGGACAAGGTCGTTTGGGACAGCCGCAGCAGCAACAGGGGGAGCGACGGTGGCAGCAACGGCAGCAGCAGCGTCAGCAGCAGCAGGCGCATCCCTCCTTCCCCTCACAGCAGCGGCCCCTTCTTCCCCTGCTCTGCCTTCCGCCCCTTCCCCTTCCCGTTCCCCTTCTCCTCCCCCCTCCACTTTCCCCTCCCCTTCCCCCTCCCTTTCCCCCTCCCTTTCCGCCTCCCCCTCCGCCTCCCCCGCCCCTGCGCGCGCCCCCAAGCTGAAGCTGGCGCGGCCGCGGGGGGTGCCATCCCCAGGGAAGCCGGGGGAGGGCGTGAGGCCAGGAGTGCCGGTGTGCTATGGGTGCGGGGCGGAGCTGCAGACGCGTGTGGAGGACGCTCCTGGGTACATCCCTCCTGACCGATACGAGATGGTGAGTCGCGAGTTGAGTCCTCTGTGGTTGGATGGGCTCAGAACACAGGATAGGCGTTGAGGGGAGCGCGTGAGAGCAGGTGTGCCGGTGTGCTATGGGTGCGGGGCGGAGCTGCACACACGAGGGGAGGACGCCCGGGGGTACATCCTCCCCGATCGATACGCGATGGTGAGCGTTAAGTGCGAGGTGGTGAGGTTTGAGTTAAGTCTGCTGTGGAATCTCGTCTCAGGGCACAGGGAGGATATGGGAGGGTGTGAGCACAGGCGTGCCATTGTGCTATGGGTGCAGGGCGGGTGGAGTTTCATTTCAACCACACTCACTCACATGCTGCCTGCTCTGCTCTCAACCACCCCCCTTCTCCCCTTCTTACTTCTCTGTTCGCCTCTTCCCAGAAGCGGCGTCACAAGCAGCTGCGGTCTCTGGTGTGCACGCGCTGCCAGCAGCTCTCTCAGAGTCGCATGGGGGCAGCCGTCACAGGCCACAGCACCTAAGCGATCCAAAGCTCCTTCTCCTCTACCCGGACACCCCCTTCCCGTCTCCCTTCTCCCTTCTCCCTTCTTCCTTCTCCCTTCTTCCTTCTCCCTTCTCCCTTCTCCTCTACCCGGACACCCCCTTCCCGTCTCCCTTCTCCCTTCTCCCTTCTCCCTTCTTCCTTCTCCTCTCCCCGGACCCCCCTGGCCCCCCTCCTTCTCCCTTCTCCCAGAAAAAACGCCACAAGCAGCTGCGCTCTCTCGTGTGCACGCGCTGCCAGCAGCTGTCCCACGGCCGCATGGTGGCAGCCGTCACGGGCCATGGTGGTTACCGCGTAACCGGCCCGGCGGACATGTTTGTGACAGCGGAGGCGCTGCGGCAGCAGCTGACGTACGTGCGCGGGGAGAAGGCGCTGGTGGTGAAGCTCGTTGACCTCGTTGACTTCAGCGGAAGCTTTCTCTCAAGGATTCGCGATATAGTCGGGCCCAACCCTATTGTTCTCGTCATCACCAAGGTGAGCGGGGATTAAGGGGTTGGAGGAAGGGGGGTAGGGGGGGAGAAGGAGTGGTGGGGAATGGAGGGTGAGGGAGAATTGGGAGTGCTGTCTCAAAAGAGAAGGCGCTGGTGGTGAAGCTCGTTGACCTCGTTGACTTCAGTGGAAGCTTCCTCTCCCGTATCCGTGACATCGTGGGGCCGAACCGTATTGTTCTGGTTATCACCAAGGTGAGGGAATAGGTCTTCTGAGAATTCTCAAGGGTGGGGGATGGAGGGTCATGCACACATCTGCCAGTTGCCCTCTACCCCTTGCCCCTCGCTGCCCCTTGCTTCGTCGCTTACAGATGTGGACCTCAAGTCTATCCCCTGTCCTTACTCGGAACTCCGAACCACCCCCAACCCTTCCTCTCTCCACCATCTTTACCCCGCGCAGGTGGATCTGGTGCCAGAGGGCACGCACATGGACCCGGTGGCGGACTGGGTGCTGGCAGCCGTTGCGAAAAAGAAGCTCAAGTGAGTGCCCCTCGCAGGGCGCAGGGCGTGGAGGTTAAGAGTGGAGGGTTCAGATCGTGGAGGTTAACACTTTGGTTCAGGGTTCAGGGTGTCGGGGTTTAAGGCGTGGTTTGGGTTGGGTTAGAGCTGAGTGACTCAAAGCACCCTTGTGCGTCTCCACCCTTGGGTCGTCAGCCCACCTCCCAGTGCGCTCGCAGTGCCTCAGATTTACCCAGTGTACATGCTCTGTGCTCTGTGCTCTGTGCTCTGTGCTCTGTGCTCTGTGCTCTGTGCTCTGTACTCTGTGCTCTGGGAACGCCATGCAAGCTTCGAGATCTCCCACTCGCTACATTTCAAACCCCTGTCTTCCTGCTGCCTCATGCCTTCTTGTCTCCTGCGTTCTTGCCTCCTGCCTCCTGAGTCCTGCCTTCTCGCTCTTGCCTCCCACCTCTTGCCTCTTGCCATCCTACTGAACATACCCCTCCTCCCCTTCCCAGTGTGCTGGCGGTGCACTTTGTGAGCGCCAAGGCCCGCACAGGGCTGTCATCGGTGGCTGCTACCATTCAACGCGAACGCCAGGTGCGCTGCTTCTCTGCTCTGCTCTTCTCTCGCACGTCTCTCAGCAGTAGTCTTTCTCATGTTATGCTCCTTATCTGTCTGCCATCCTCTTCCTCCTCTCCTTCCCTCTCCCTGCTTCATTACAAAAACAAAAGAAAAGAAGAGAGAAGAACAAGAAGAAGAAAAAATAAAGTTTTCCTTTCGTTTGCTTTTGAGGCGCCTCAAAAGTTTTCCTTTCGTTTGCTTTTGAGGCGCCTCAAAAGTTTTCCTTTCGTTTGCTTTTGAGGCGCCTCAAAAGTTTTCCTTTCGTTTGCTTTTGAGGCGCCTCAAAAGTTTTCCTTTCGTTTGCTTTTGAGGCGCCTCAAAAGTTTTCCTTTCGTTTGCTTGCTTATGTCTTCCGCTTTCTTGCCCCCCTTCTCCTCCCATGCTTGCAATGTGCAGGGACGAGACGTCTATGTCCTGGTAAGTAAGTAGATGCGATCGCCACCTGTAAATACAGATGATCTTCTTTCGCATGCATTGCATCTCCCAGTAGAAGAGTCGGTCGCACCTCGTGTACGGCACTGTCCCTTCTGCTTGCCTGCTCCTACCAATGGATTTCCAGCTCCTGACGTTCCACGCAGTCATAAGCGTGCCCGCGTTCAAGTGTTTCTGCTGTTTTTCTTTCTTCCGCATCGCCTCTTTCTGTCTCCTGCTCTCCTCCATTCCCTCTCTCCTCCTCTCCTCCGCCCCCGCTCTCCCTCTTTGCTCCTCTCCCCCTCTCCTGCTCTCCTCCTATCACGACGGCCATCACCATTATCTTGTCTATCAGGGAGCGGCCAATGTGGGCAAGTCCGCGTTCATCTGCGCTCTTCTAGGTACGCATTTAGAGGCGTCTCAACGCATTTAGAGGCGTCTCAACGCATTTAGAGGCGTCTCAACGCATTTAGAGGCGTCTCAACGCATTTAGAGGCGTCTCAACGCATTTAGAGGCGTCTCAACGCATTTAGAGGCGTCTCAACGCATTTAGAGGCGTCTCAACGCATTTAGAGGCGTCTCAACGCATTTAGAGGCGTCTCAACGCATTTAGAGGCGTCTCAACGCATTTAGAGGCGTCTCAACGCATTTAGAGGCGTCTCAACGCATTTAGAGGCGTCTCAACGCATTTAGAGGCGTCACAACGCATTTACAATGCATTTAGAGGCGTCTCAACGCGTTTACACCACGAGTGCCTTAGACTGCTGCCTTGAAGGTGTGCGAGGGATTGCAGTGCCTTTGACTACCATGGTAATGCATAGCAGGCTGTCGTGCAGTTTCACTGCCATGTACTACCACGCACCACCATGTGTGCACGTTGCGCCACTTAAGTACATGCAGCCACTTTGAACATCACAGCCAGACATGGTGCATGAGATGCCGATGTCGGGCCGTTGCACATGCATTGCATTGTACCACCAGCAGCTCCTGCCGTTCCCATGCACATCCACCGCTCCCCCTGGCCATTGATCTTTCCTGATTATTCCTGCAGATGAGATGGCGAGTCGGGACATCATGGCAGCAGCAGCACGGCGTCGTCGCCCCGTGGCCTCGGCCATGCCGGGAACCACTCTGGGCCCCATCTGCCTCAAGGCCTTCTCTGGAGGCGGGGTGAGTGCTGTGCGGTACAGATGGTCTGTGTCCTCTTGTTGCTCTCAAGCAGCTCGGTGCCGTCGCCCCGTGGCCTCTGCCATGCCGGGGACCACCCTTGGTCCCATCTGCCTCAAGGCCTTCTCCGGTGGAGGGGTGAGTGCAGCACGCAATTGATGCTCTTTGCCTTCTGGTGTGCTCTTAAGCCACACTGCTGTCGCCCCGTGACCTCTGCCGTGCCGAGAACCACCCTTGGACCCATCTGCCTCAAGGCCTTCTCAGGAGGCGGGGTGAGTTGTGCCCCTTTTCTGGGCAAACCCATTGCGTTGAGAGATAGTCATCGCATTGTTTAGGTGAATTCCTGTCACCTCAATAGAACAAGATGTGATACCTGCACGATGTACGACACGTCTAGGGTGCATCTGCACCATCTCCTGCCTCTTGATTCTACTCCAAGTTACCTCACACCCCCCCTCGTTTCGCTGGCATGCCTCTTCCTTTCTCACCGTGTTTCTCCAGGACCTGTACGACACGCCCGGGGTGCATCTGCACCATCGCATGGCCGCCATGCTGCATCCGTGGGATCTGCATCACCTCGGCCCAAAGCGACGGCTGAGATCGTTCGTTGTCACCGGGCCTCTGGACCAACACACAGGCGCAGGCAAGGGAAGGGAAAAAACAGAAGAGAAAGCGGAGAAAGCGGAGAAGGGGGAGAAAGGAGAGCAGAAAGAGAGTGTGGAGGGAGCAGCACTGAAAGGGCTTGCAGAGGAGGGCACCAATGGGGAGCACAAGGGGCTTCAAGGCACCTCTCTCTTCTGGGGCGGCCTCGTTCGGATCGATGTGGTGAAGGCGCCAGCTGGTGCAGCTCTCACCTTTTTTGGCCCCGTGGCCATCCGCGTATCCTCCGTGCCCACCCCTGCTGCTGATGCCTTCTATGAGGTTTGCTTCTTTCTCTGCCTCCTTCCTGCCAATACATACCTCTTCATGCACCTTCTCACCGCACTGCATACCTCCTCATCCCTCTTATCGCAGCTTATCTGTCTGAATCCCCACACCGGTTCCATCTCACCCTCCCTCGCATCCTCTGCTCTCTCATACCCTCTGCTTCCACATGTCCGCTGTGCCTCACATTTCTTGCTGACGTGGCAGGCTGAGGTGGGTCGACTGCTCGTGCCGCCATCCAAGCCATTGGAGGAACCAGCTTGGGAGGGGCTGCCGTCGCAGCGGGCCTTCTCCTTCCGCCTGCCTGCCAAGCGCTCCAGGTGCGTTTTGCATGTATAGTTGTCCTTCGGCAATGGTTTCCTTCCAGGCTTCCACAAGTGATTTTGTCCCATGCTATTTGCCATGCACCATGCACCATCATTTATTGGCGTACATTCTTCCTGTGGTTTTGCCTCAAAACGGCTTTTGGTCTGTCCCTCCTGCTCCAATCCACCAGCCCGGTAGCTGACATTGCAATCTCCGGCCTGGGTTGGGTCTCCTTGTCTGGCGTGAAGCCACGTCAGCGCACCAATCCGGATGCTGATATGTCATCTAGTGACGCCACCACCAGTTCACATGCTGCACACGTGGAGCCTACTGGCACTTGGGATGATCCCAATGCTGCTAACGACGCTCACGGCGATATCGCTCGCTTCGATGATCCTGGTAACCAAACGCTGGGCATGGATTACAATGACGAAGATGGCCATGGGAGCAGCGGTTTGTTCACGAAGCAAGAAAGCGATGTGGAGGTGGTGGTGCATGTGCCCAAGGGCATTGAGGTGTTTGTAAGGCCTCCCATGCCCGTTGGGTGGTTTGCCGACGACTGGTATCAGTACGAGGAGCTCAGCAAGAAAGAGGAGATGGCACGGCCTCGGGTGTTTCACGATGAAGCTTAAATTTCAGCATAGTTGATGCATTCACATGTACTCTAAAGGCACCGGAAATCACCATCACCATCAGTGTGAACTGTATTGCATTTGAAATACATATGTGCTCTTCCTTCTTTAAGAAGTTGATAAATTAAATATACGAACAAGTGTTCTACTTACCATTAGCTTAGCTCCAAGGTTGGTCTCCCCCAAACCACCTCTCTTCCTAGCCCATTTTCAAATTTGGACCTCACACAATCACAGACACAACCTAGATTTTGGTTTCACAATCACGTGTGCCTGAAACCTAGAGAGTACTTCCCGCCTTCGCACGAAAGGAGTCAGAAATCTTGGTGCCGCAAATAAATATGATCATAGCCGGGGAATCGAACAGTCTATTTCCGTGCGTATTCGTCTTTACTCGAGTAATGGTATAGGTTTTTTCAATCTCTTCTGAAATAGTTCTGTCGGAACTGAAGTTAGGCGGAAATGGCAGGCGTCGCGGAAGCTCCGCCACCTGCTATGGCTGCTCCGCCAGGTGCTCCGCCAGCGATGCTTCCGCCGACGGCGGAAGAGACAGTCCCGCTGAGCCTGCTCAGTACTGCGACGGTTCAGCAGACCATGCAAGAGCTGCGACAGTTGAGCGAGTCGCTGGCTGCGTCGCGTGCGACGGCGGAGGCGAGCGGGCGAGGTCCCGACGACGAGAAACAGCGAAAGGTCGCTCTTCTGAAATTTCTCTGGCATACGCGACAGAAGCTGCTGCGGCTTCTCGTTGTAACGAAATGGTGCAACCAGCTGCCTGTGATCGAGCGGTGCAAGCAAGCGTGGACCGCGCTGGCCAATCACGACGCAGCGTTTGTGCAAGCTGCGGACGGATTATGGATGACTCACGCGCAGATCCAAGGCGCGCGAGCGCCGCTCTACGACGTTCCTACCGCCGTCGAAATCCTCTCCACGCACGCTTACCGCCGGCTACCCGCTTGCGTAGACGATCTGCAGCTCCCGCCGAACCTGATGCTGCAGAGGCTCGGACCAGCTTCGGTGGCAGGGTTGGTACCGCCTGCAGGGGTTGCTGCAGCAGCGACGGCAGCTGCTGAAGCTATGAGATTGCTGGGAGGGGAGGAGGACGAGGAGGAAGAGGAGGAAGAGGAGGGTGAGAGGGAGGGGAAGGGGAAAGTGAAAGAGGAAGAGGAGGGAGAAGTGGAGTCTAAGGGCGTGAAGGGAACTACCATTCGTGCTGATTCTGCTGCTGGCTCTAACGCTGCCGCTGCTGCTGCTGCTGCTGCTGCTGCTGCCGTGACTGCTGCCACACCCGACGCCACAGCACCAGCTGACTCTATCCCAGTTATACCCGAGACGGCCAAGGCGAAGCGCGCGAGGCTGCGAGCCGCCAGGCGCAGCGGCAGGCGAGCCGCTATAGAGCAGATTAACTCCTTTCTGCGAACGCGGCTGCTGGAAACACCTATTCCCGCGGAGGTGACGCGGGTGCGGGTGGGAGGCGGCAAGGTGCGCGTGTACGTGGAGGGCGAGTATCAGGCGGATATCACTGCTGGTTATATGTCGAATCTGTCGCTTTGGAAGGTGATTAAAGTAAAGATTCTTGTACGGGGCGTGGAGAACGCGGCAGAGGGGGAGGGGGAGGAGGAAGAGGAAGAAGACGAGGAGGAAGAAAAAAACGAGGAAGAGGGGGAGGGCGCGGGAGAGGGCAGGGAGGAGAGGAAGAGGCGACGCCGGCAGCGATCACAGGGAAGGAAAGGCACGGCGTCAAGGCAGCAAGGAGGGGCATGCAGGTTGAAGGGTATCAAGGGCATCCCTATGAGTGAGGTGCAGCAGATGGCGCTAGCAGATGAGCTGCAGCGACGCATGGCAGCAGCAGCCGAGGACCCAATCACAGCCCTCCACGTGGTGCTCCACCAGGTGTGCTGCGGCGTGGCAGCGGATGAGATTCTACTTCAGCTGCACGCGCTCTGCGCCGCCCGCTGGCGCCACCACGTTAAGTTTGAGGTCGCCGCCCGGGACGCGGGCGGCACGGGCGGCGGGAGAGGGGTATCGGGGGGTGTGGGGACGTCTGGGGAACCCAGTGGGAGCAAAGGATGGGTGGCAAGGGGCGGGGCAACAGGGGGAGTAGCAGGGGCAGGGGGAATAGGGGGAAAGGGCGGAGTAGGAGGAGCGAGGGTCAGTGGTTCAGGAGCAGCAGCATCGAGTGGGGGTGGGAGGGAGGGGGAACGATCCGGGGCAGCAGAGGCAGGAGCAGGAGGAGCGGGGGCAGGAGAAGCAGCCGGGGGTGCAGCGGGGTTGCCAGCGGTACCGGAGGTATCTCCTGCGGTGCTGCACGTGTGGTACTGGCTGGACCCAGGGAAGGGTGAGAGCACAGGGGGCTCGTCGTCAGCTGTGTTGGTCCGGCTGGGTATCGTCAGCTTTGAAAGCGCAGATGAGCCGCCGCCCTGCCTCACTCTCTCCCTCGCCCCACCCCCTACCACCCCTCCTCCTCCTGTCGTCCCTCCTGCCTCTGCTCCAGGCTCATCTGCAGCAGCTGCTGCTGCTGTGGCGGCGGCAGCGGTTCCTGCTGCTCCTCCCTCCTCCCTCTACTCCCGCCAGCCATTGCGCAACCAGCTTATCTGCCAGCATACGCCGCCCGTGGTGGACCCCGAGACGGGCGGCGAGGTTTGTCTCTATCTGGACCCGAGCAGGATCGACGTGGAGAAGCTGGTGCTGTTTGCCGCCCGGTGTTCGGCGCATGCCAAGCTGGCGCAGTTAAGGCGAGACCTGCTGGCGGCTCCGCTGCTCTGTTCCGGGCCCCAAGACGTGCTGCTCTCCTTCCCTCCCGCCCCCTCTTTCTCCCCCTACCACTCCTCATCTCTCTCCACCGCCCACTCTCCCTTCTCCGAGCCCCCTCCTCCTCCATCTCCTCCTCTGCACTCGTCTGTAGATGCTGCAAAGGGTGCAGTGCCGCTGAGCGAAAATTCGGGAGGAGAGGGGAAGGAAAAAAGGGGAGGGGAGTTGGATGGCGTTGCGAAGAGGCTGGGGAGTGTGCTGGGGAAGCGGAAGTTGCTTATGGAATCTCTGTCGCTTGCCAACGCTGGCATGCCTGGCAGTGGTGATAGTGTTGGGGATGATGCTGGTGATCATGGTGGTGGTGGTGGTGGTGGTGGTGGTGGTGGTGCTTCAACCCATGATGACCTGCCAAGAGGCAAGAAGCAGAGGCAGCGAGACAATGGGAGAGGGGTGGCAACATCTGGGGGTGGAGAGTGGGGGAGAGGCAGCAGCAGAGGCGGGGACAGGTGGGGCAGGGAAGCGTCTAGGTCGAGAGGGAGGGAGGTGCTGTGGGTGCGGGCGTGTGGCGACTGGTTTGCTGCCATCGGCGTGAACACGCGGACCGGGCGGTACGAGGTGTGGGCGGGCGGCAAGGGCTTGTCCTGGGCGGCAGCGAGGGAGGTGGAGGGGGCGCTGAACAGTGGGAGCTCGACAGCTGGCGACGCGCTGGTGCTGCTGCGCCTGCACTGCCTGCACGCCCAGCTCACGGCTGCGGGCATGGCTCTGGGTCTCGTGGTGAGTTGGCAATACCTGCAGTTCATTGGATTTGATGGGATTGCTTTGCTGCTGCTGCGCCTGCACTGTCTGCATGCTCAACTGACGGCAGCGGGCATGGCTCTGGGTCTCGTGGTGATTTGTGGGTTTGGCTGTGGGCTGTGGGGGTGTATGGGTTTCATGGGAATGCTCCTGTGCTGCTGCGGCTGCATTGCCTGCACACTCAACAAACACCCCATGCTTAGACCTCCTGGTTTCCTTCCTTCACTGCCCTCCCACTCTCCAGCTTTATAAATTACTATCCCTGTCTCCCAGACTTGCTCTTTTCCATATACCCTCACACCCGTCGCCTTCCGCCATTCTCTTCCTCTCCTCCCTTATTCACCCTGCTTTTGAAACCCCCCCAACCTTCCCCTCGTCCACCCAACCAGCCATACGAAGCGGGCCCAGCAGGCATTCGATACACATCAGACGACCCAGCGCACCCCCTCACTCTCCCTCCACCGCCCCGCACACTCCTCTTCTCGCTCTCGCACCCTCCCTTTCTCCCCTACCCAACCCCATCCTCTCCCTCACCACCCCACTCTAGCCTTCCCCTCTCCGCCTCTCCACCGCCCAACCCCCCCTCGTGGCCGCCCTATCTGCTTGCCATTCTCATCCAAGCGGATTTCACTCTCTCCTTCCGCTTGCTTCAACTCACACCCCCGCCACTGCCACACCCTGCTGCTGCTGGGACCAGTACCTCTACCACTGGTGCTAGTGCTGGTGCTGGTGCAGGTGCGACTGGTGTAGGCACTACTGCTGCTACTGCTGCCGCTGGTGCTCCCGGTGCCTTTGCTGCAGCAGCAGCTGGGCAGTCGCTTGTGGCGTCACTCGCGCCGCCAGGTGTCACGCGCTGGTTGGCTCTGGAGGTGGGTGCGCTGGTGCTGGCGGCTGGAGATCCCGAGGTGGTGGCCCTGGCTGGTTCTGGGACAGGAAAGGGGATGGATTGGGGGGAAAAGGGGAGGGCGGGGGAGGGAGAGGAAGGAGATCAGGGGAGAATGAGGAAAGGGGGGAAAAGGGGGGATGGCGAGAGGAAGGAGATGGTGGGAGGTTGGGAGGAGCTTTTGGATATGGCGGATAACTGGGAAAGTGATGGTGAGGAGGATGTTGAGAGGGATGAGAGGCTCGGAGGAGTGGGCGATAATGGGGAGATGGGCAGTGTAGTGGGGATTGGGGTGGGAGAGGGTGCAGAGCAAGCAGCAGCCGTTGATGGAAAGCAGAGTGCAGATCGTGCTGCAGCGGTTCAAAGCGGTGGTGATGATAAAGACAGTGGTGGTGCTGGTGGTCGTCGTGATGTTACTGATGCACCCAAGGCCCATGAACCAGCAGGCAGATCTGTCAAGAAGCGCAAACGCCACCACACCATTCACCACCCATCCCAACCCCTTCACTGCGCTCTGATTGGCCGGCCGCTGCAGGAGCTGGTACAGCTGGCAGGTCGGGGCAAGGTCCCTGTGTCCCTCATCTTCCCCCTCGTGCTCTCCCGCGCCCAGCACCTCGCTGCTGCTACCGTCAAGCACTCCCTCCTCTCCTCCCTCCTCTCCTCTGCTGGTGTTTCCACCGTTCCCTTCCTCTCTGCTGCCTCCTCCTCCCCCTCCTCCTCCTACTCCTCACTCTCCGCCTCCTCCCCCTCTCACTTCCCCTGTCTGCCGCCCCTCATTTCATCTTCCCTCTCCTCCTCTGCGACTGCTTCACATTCGGATTCCTGTTATCCACCATCCACTGTCCGCCCCTCCGCCCTCGTCTCCCCCCAAACCCTGCTGCGGATTCCAGGCTTTCCCCCTCCTGCAGCAGCAGCTGCACTGCCCCCAGATACCGCCTCCCCCTGGCAATCCCTGCTGCTGAGATCCGATTCGCCGGCCACTGCCAGCTGGTCCGTGCTGGTGCCAGCTCAGCATTTTGTCAGCTTGTGGCAGCTTCAGGAGTTTTGTCAGCTTAGGCAGCAGCAGCAGCAGCAACAGGAGATGGAAATCGAGCAAGGAGGAAGATTCCTTGGACTTGCCGAACCTGTGCATGCACCCGAACTGGCAGGTGATGCTGCCGAACCTGATGCTACCAAGCCTGGTGTCACGAGGTTCGGGAGAACGAGAGCAAGCAGAGGAGGAGGGGGTGAGCACCGCATGAAACGCATCCTTCGCATGTGTGTGTGGGCCCAGGAAGGAGTTGCTTACAGCGATGAGAGCACAGGTGACAACAGCGCCACCATCAGTACCGCTCCTGCCTCTACTTCTGCCTCTGCCTCTGCTTCCACTGCTGCCAGTACTACCAGAACCACTGAGTGTAGCATCAGAACCAGGGGTGCTGCGCCAGACATGCGATGCACTCCTGAGGGACTCCTGCTGACATGTCACAGCATGAGCCGATCAGCCGTCGCCAGCATGGCACGTGACCTGGCGTGTGCATGGCAGGCCTTTCTCTTCATCCGCCAGCTCAGACGCATCCTGATTGGCCGACGCAAGTCAGCAAGGGGAGGGAGGAGAGCAGAGGGGGGTAAGGGTGGGGGATGGGGAGGAGCAGGAGGGGAGTGGGGAGGAAGAGGGGGAGAGGTGTTGGGAGTGCCGGTGGCGGGGGATAGGGAGGAGATGGTGAGGCGGTGGGGGGAGGTGAGACGGGCAGTGAGGGTGGTAGCTGTGGGCCCCACATCTGTCTGTCTCTCATACGACGGTGGTATGCTCATGCCAGGCTGCCCTGTGCGCGTCCAGATTCAATGGTTCCCAGCTGCGTCTACTGCTTCTCCTGCTGCCACTGCAGCCGCTTCCAATGCTGGTGTTGAGGGGACGGGGGCAATGAAACGGGAGCATAATCTGGATGCGGGTGGCAGTGGCGCTGATGCTGCTGCTGCTGCTGGCGGTGCTGGTGGTGGCGCTGATGATGGTGGTGGTGGTGACGATTGGGGGGATGTGTCATTAGCTGTGGATTGCAGAGTCGTGGTTTCACCTGATGACTTGTGGCCGCACACACAGGTACAAGTACCTCGGCTGCGTGAAGCCCTTCCATTTAGCACCGCTATTTCCATCCACTTGTCAGAGCTTGGAAAACAACTTTGTCCTTCAAATCTCCGTTTGTTTCCTTTCCTTCCCGTTACCCCTCGCAGTATCTAGAGGAGTGTGTGCGCATGGACGATGCAGGGCTGCTGCTGGACGCCGTTCACCTCACAGCAGCCCAATCCTTCTCGCTCCTTTCAGCTCATCCGAATCCCATTTTCTATTTATTCTTTGTCCCCTCCTTTTCGTCCTCTGTCCATGGGCAGTATCTAGAGGAGTGTGTGCGCATGGACGATGCAGGGCTGTTGCTGGATGCCATTCGCCTCACAGCAGCGCCGCTCCACGCCTTGCACTCCGCCATCCGCCCCCTCCGCTCCCTCTCTGTCCCTCCCACCTCGCTGCCGCCGCACCTACACCATCATGCACAGCAGCGGCCAAAGGTGCAGCCATCGCAGAATAATGTTCCTGCACATGCTGCAGCTCCTGCTGCAGGCGCCACTGCGTCTGCTCCTCCTGCTCCTGCAGCATCACCACCAGAAGCTTCTGCTTCCGCTGCAGCCTCAGCCAGTGCCACTGCAGCAGCCACTGCAGCCCCAGCAGTAGCAGCAGCATCAGCAGCGGCGGCGGCAGCAGCAGCAGCAGGGGCGTCGCGAGGGCTGATGCTGGGAGCAACACTGTGCTCTCTCCTCCCAGGAGACATCACAATCATCCCACGTGGCCCCTTCTCCTTCCGCATCGTCTACCGCCACGACTTTGCCATCCACATGCGCTGCTTCGCCCCCGAATTCGTCTGGTTGCAGCCCGCCCCGCCGCCCAAATCCTACGACCTGCCGCCCGGACTCGTCGCGATGTTCCCGGAAGGCTCCGCTGCTGTTGTGGCTGCTGCAGAAACTCCCAGCGGTGCTGCTGGGAGCGGGAACAGGGGTGGTGGCAACAGGAGGGGTGGGGCATCGGGAGGACCCACTCCAGGCAATGGCTATCCGAATGGGTCACCCAGTGGTGGTTCTGCTGCTGCTGCGGCAGCAGCGAGCGGGGTGATTCGAGGGGATCTGTCTCTGGGAGGATCTTTGCCCTGCCCACAGTTCCGCCCCTTCATTCTGGAGCAGGTCTCTCTGCTGCTCTCACAGCTCTCACATGCGCCTGACCTGCCTCCCGCTGCTGCTGCTGCTCTTCCTCCTGCTTCCACCGCTCCTGCTGCTGCTGGTCCGGGTGCTGGCAGGCTTGGGAGGACAGGGCCAGGGATGGAGAGCCTGGGAGCAGGAGGGCAGCATTCGGCCGGTCCCAGCAGCTCACACCAGCAGCAGCAGCAGCAGCAGCAGCAGCAGCAGCAGAGGGTGGAGATGCAGCGGTGGCAGCACATGGCAGCATCCCTCGCCTCCTCAGTGCGAGCAGAGTCCCACACGGCCATGGTGGGGCTGTCAGACGACGGCGGGTACGGCGGGGCGTGGGTGCCCGTGGTGCTGCTCAAGCGAGTGCTGCGCAGCATGCTGCGGTACCTGGGGACCATTGCTCTATTTGCTCGGTTTCCGTCTGTGCTGGCGGCTGTGCTGGGCCCGGCCATGGGGACGAGGGAGGCTGGGCTGCTGTCACAGGATCCGGAGCAGCCTGCTCTGCGGTTCTTCATTGGGTAAGCTGCTGGTGCCGTTGTGCTGCCGCTCTTTCTGCTGCCCCTCTTCTCATGCCTTTGTTGGTTTGGTACGCATGGTGAATCTGCACACTCTTACCCACCCTACCCTTCGTTCATCTGCCAGCGTCTTTCTCTCACCCCAAGAACCAAGTGTGTATGACAAATCTGTACCGCCATCGTGTCATGCTGCGTTGTGCACTTGTGTCTTTTCCCTCCCCGATTTCCTGCCAAACCTCCCATCTCCTCCGCTCCAGCAATTATGTGTACATGGTGAATCTGCACCGCCATCGCCGCCCCACTGCCGGAGACCAGCTGCAACTCATGCTGCAGGTGAGTGCCCTGGCACGCCATGCCATGCGCTTCCATACCATGCCATAGCTCTCATATGATGTCACATCATGCCATGGCTTCACCTCATGCTGTGGGATCATGCAGCCCTTTTCAGTGAAGGTCAATGCTGTGCGGTGCTAAGCCAAGCCCGTGCATTTCATGCCATGCCATTATGCCATACCATGCCATGTGTGCATTGCCTACTCCGTTGCTGTGAATCATGTCGCTAGAGCGTGTGAGAGAGGCTTAGGGCGTGTTCAATCCTCTCTCCTGTCCCCCTACACCCCATTCAGGTCGTAAACGCCCGCATGGCTCCACAACGCCACCCGCCTGCCATGACACCCGACGCTGACGTGGACATGAGCCCTGCTGAGCTGGCGGAGATCAGTGATCTCTTCACGCGCAAGGTGGCGGTGGAGCCCTTCGACGTGTCCCGCCTGTCTTCCTTCGTGACACTTGTCATGCTCCCATTGGCTGTGATCCGCGAGTTCATGGGCTTGCTGGCCTTGAGAAGGGAGCAGCAGCGACTGCTGGCTGCTGCTGCAGCTGCTGCTGCCGGACCAGGCGGGGCAGCAGCAGGAGAGGCAGTATCAGGGGGAGGTACACCTGCTTGTGGGGCTGTTGCAGGTAATATCCCTACCATCCCACCAGCCGCCCGGATCGCAGTCGACCTGTGCTTTGAGAATCGCATCGGGCTAGGCTGGGATCTCCCAGATTCTTTCGGGAGACACAGTGGAGGTTCATCTGGGGGAGGTGTATCTGCAGGGCAGGTTCACCCAGGCGCTGCTACAGCCGGGAATGCAGCTGGCAGCGGTGGAACAGCCGACCGCAGCGATATCAGCTACAGCCGGGCGGAAAGCCGAGTGGATTTCTCTCTTGTCCTGCTCATGGACCATGCCGCCCTCTCCGCCGCCCACCTGCCAGTCCAAATCGCGGGCGGCGCAGGCTGGCTGGCGCACTGCATCTCGGTGCGCCTCCGCTTGCACTTCTCCGCGGCCCCTGCCAATCCGGCTGCTGCTGGTGCAGGCGCTGCCTCTGTTCCTCCCGGTGCACGAGGGCCGTTGATTCTGCAGCTGTCTCTGCTGGCCGTTGATGGCAGTCATGGGGGGAAAGCGTGCTGGAGTAAGGCAGAGGACTGGGACAGGTGTAAGCAGCTGATTGGCAGGGCGATCAAGGAAATGCCATCACCACCACCAGCAGCGGCTGCCGCAGCTGCCGCGGCGGTAGCAGCAGGTGGAGGAGTCAAGGAAATGGGGGTGGTGGTGGGAGGGAGAGGATGGTTGAGAGTGTTATCTGAGAGGTTGCAGGCAGCAGTGCACTCTGCACTGGCCTCGTCTCACAGGGTTTGAGCTAGTCCACAAGTTGTCACATGCCCTGAATCGTTCCAGATTCAAGCCGATGCCACCCAAACCATGTTTCACAATCGTGCAAGAAAGTTGCTTTGCTGTTTAGAGAGTGGTGATAACAAGGTACCATTGTGTTCACATTGACATCTTATTATTACAAGGGCTGACGTTTTCAGACACTCTGATTTCCCTCAAGGAAGTGCGTCCACAAAGCGTCCAGGGTTGATATGTCAAGTATTTAATTTGATAATGTCAAGCCTGGATACAATTCGAGATTTGTGAAAGGTTTGAGCGAGTAAGGTTGACAAGTGATTCACAGAAATTTCAATCTCGATTCACCACCTAGAACCGCTCTTTACTCAAGAACATTCACATTCCATATTCAGGAACTGTACCTCCCGAGCCTCGAGGGCTTGATATCAAACCACTTCAAGCAATCGAGGGTCGATGTTCAAGGAACAGATAAGCCTGAAATCGGACGGCGAGAAATGGTTTAGCAAACTGCAAAATATCAGGTCTGGTCAGCATTCATGGAGGAAATGGATGGTGATTCGAGGTGCCAATTGCCACGTCACGAAGGTCTTTCGAGAATTCATTGGCTGGAGTTAGAATCAAGACTCACTTCGCAGAGAGTTACTGAATATTTCGCCTGGTCTTACATTTCGCCACTAGGATTTTCACCCACAGCCGAACCACCTCACAACAAGCAGAGCTTCACAGGAGTTCTTACCTCCTGGTTGGTAAAGCAGGAAGCGATTTAATGTCATTCACAACGGCTCTCTTCCAGGGGTAGAGTTTGGTGGCCTCTCATTGGCCAGCACCGACAGTTCGAATTTGAGCGACACGGCGACAGATCTTGAACTGGCGGGATGACGAATCCACCTGATAGATCTACAAATCGACGGTCGAAAACCATAGGCTTTTCGTTCGTTCCTTCTTGGCCTTGATTCCCGCCTCTGTTAAGGGACCCTTCTGGGGGATATCTGGATTCTCTTTTGCGGTGCAGCCGCTTGACGGCGATTACGACACGTGACAAAGTGTAGCAAACGGAGGGTTCCAAACGGAGGATTATGGTGCCCTCGCCTCCCCCGCCTCTCCCTTCATCCATGTCCTTGTATCTTGTTGTTGTTGCAACTTGTGGCCTTGCTCTGGCAGCATCCGTGGGGGAAGAAGTGCCAGCAACAGCAGTGCAGCGTATTCTACATGGTGGGTGTGATGGCAGATTGTGCAAAGGGGAGTTGCTGACCTTGTTATCGTGCATTTCTCACTTAGCGCTCTCTTTTCAATGGCGGTCTGATGTAAATGCAATACGCAACTAATCTTTGCCTTCTTATCATATTCACTTCTGCAGCTTCTAAGTGGCTCCTCTTTCTTTTACTTCCTTCCTTGTCCCATTGCTGTCCCGATGGTAAGTGGCTCTTCTATGGTGAAGTGCAGGGCGAGGGAGAGGAGAGGACATGTGGGGTGGGGTGCCGCGTGCTGGTGGGTGGACGACCAAGAGCTCAAGATGGGCCACTTCTGTTCTTGGCTCTTCTTTGGTTTGCTTATATGTGCTTAGGTGTGCCAAGGTTTGCTTAGGTGTGTTGTGCTGTGTTGTGCTGGGATGGGTCTGCATGTTGTATAATAGATGGGTGGGGTGGGCAGCCTAGAAGGTGCCTGGGCTGGGCACAAACACCCAAGCAGGACGGAGTGTCCTCCTGCACGTGCTGTGCCATGCCAGGCACTCCGTGCAGTGGTGAGGAGAACGTGGAGGAGAACGTGGAAATGCAGGGCACTGAAACACGCCCTGCATGCAGCATGCATGCACATACAGAAAAAGCCACCATCAAGAAGCCGTGAGACACGCAAACCCCTCACACAGAAGTGTGGATGGCAGGGACTGACAGGAAGCAGGCTTGCCAAGGTTTGCACAGGAACTGCAGTACAGGAATGGTCAGAAGCTGCTGCAACCAGACAATCAGCCAATCAGACAGGCAGCCAAGTAGCAAAGCAGCCAAGCAGCCAAGCAGCCAACTAGTCAACCAGCTAACCAGACTATTAGCCATCCAGACAACCAACGCTCCAGCCAAACAGCCTATCCCAGATCCTTGCATCCTGACCTCTACCTTCAGCAGAGCATCTGTCTGTGTACTGGCACTGACACTGGATTCATAATACGCACATGACTGCATTTGCAGCTGCCTACAGCTCGTGGTGTGTAAGGTAGATCTACTCATAGAGGACCAGCCCTTCAGCACTGAATTTCTGAGTCCATGTTCAGCAGCCAGGCTTGGCAAGCAGTTGCACAACAAAAACCTTACCCATCAGGTTAGTTAGGCAAGCAGGTGCACACAGCAAGAATTTTGCAGACAGAAGCGCGACCAGGAGGATTGCAATATCATGTTTCACAAGGGATTTAGCTGGACATTTCCGCATTTGGCTCTCTCTAGCTAGCACTATTTTTGCACTTTGGTATGTACTTCCCGTAGACGTGAAAACAAGCCCTGGTGGGGCGAAGGTCAAGAGGGATCAGCAGCCCCAAACAAGATGCCTTTTTGGAATCAACCTTCGCTCATTCAACTTGCAACCGTAGGATAACGTCTTTCGGAAAGCTCTCACAGCCACCGCAAACGCGTTGTCTCCTATCTCTGTTGTGACCTTGCGACCGCGCCGCAGTACTTAGCTGTGCCTCACTCTCTTCCCTTGATTCTCGCTTTCGTAGAACCGCATAACTCGTAACCTCGCGGTGTTTTGTTGTACAGTGACTGCCATGTCAGATTCGGAGGACGATTTCGAGCAAGAGCTTCTGCAGGCCGTTGGTCGCGCCGGCAGAAGCGGCGGCAGAAGCGGCGGGGGAGACGGCGGAAGGAAAGGCGGAGGAGGGGGAGGGAATAGGCGGAGCAGCAAAGGCGGTCGCAGCCGTCGATCTGGATTCCGTAGCTCGAGCAGCAGCGAAGACCAGCCGTCGGATAACGAGGATGACGATGACGAGTACGAGGATATCGAGGAGCGGGAGCGCGCAAGAGGCGCGCGGGGATCCGCCGGCGCGGAAGGAAAAACGGATACCCGCAGCCGCGGTAACGTGAGCCCTCCGCGGGGAAGCGGCTTCCGCAGCGGTGGCGGTGGCGGTGGCGGTGGCGGTGGCGGAGGCGGAGGGAACCGCGGAGGAGGAAGGGGAAGCGGGTCGGACGAGGATAGAAGGGCGCGCGGGAACGGCGGGGGGGATGGGGATTCGGACAGCAGCGGCTTGTCGTTCGGTAGCGATTTGTACAAGGACGACGACGATCGCGAACGGTTACAGGCGATGAACGAAATCGATCGCGAGCAGATTCTGTTCGAGCGCGACGAGAGGCGACGAAGTCACCTGGACAAACGGGAGCTTCGCAAGAAGCTTCGCCAGCAGCAGAAGCTGCACCCGCAACAGCAGCAGTCGTTTCAGCGTACCCAGGAGCGCACACCGCGTGCATCCGCGCGAGAACCGGCGGCTTCCCCCGCAGCCCCGCCGCCGGCGGCCGCGGCGGCGGCGACCACGCCAGAACCGGCGGCGCGCGGAGCGCCAGCATCGGGATCCGCTCCGGGGTCGGCGGGGGGGGCGTCGTACACGCCGCCGGGATCGGCGGTGGCGCGCGCGCGGGGGTTCGGCGGCGTGGAGCGCAGCCGCAAGGAGGACGCGCTGCAGCAGCTGGAGGCGAAGAAGGCGGCGAAGCAGCAGCGGCGGAACGACCTCGACGCGGATCGGGGCGGGGATAGAGATGCTTCCGACGATGGCGGAAGCGACGATGCGCTCGCGTCCCGCGGGAAGCCGCCCGCGCCCGCAGACGCGAAGCCTCCCGTTTCCGCTCGCCCCCGCTCCCGCTCCCGCTCGCGATCCCGTTCGCGATCGCGCTCGCGCAGCAGCAGCAGGGGCAGGGGGAGGGGCCGGGGGCGGGGGAGGGGGAGCGACAGCGACGCGAGCAGCAGCAGCCGCAGCAGCAGAGGCAGAGGCGGAGGCCGCCGGCGGCGCAGCCGCAGCCGCAGCAGCGCGAGCTCGGATCGCAGCAGCAGCAGGAGCAGCCGCGGGAGGAGCAGCAGCCGCAGCAGCCGCGGCAGCAGCAGCGACAGCGACAGGGGCAGCACGAGTAGCAGCGACGGGGGCGGCGGGGGGAGGGACGGGGGGCGGAAGCGCGGAGGCGACCAGTCTAGATTCGCTGAACCGGATGATTTGGCGCAGATTGTGGTGACACGGTCGAAGCTAGCAGCGTGGTGCATGGAGCCTTACTTTGAGTCGCTGGTGTGCGGGTGCTTCGTGCGGCTGGGCATCGGCATGAACCCCCACGGCCAGCCCGTGTATCGCATCTGTGAAGTGGTGGCTGTGGATGCCAAAGACCCCTCCAAGCAGGTACGGTTGCTGAGGCACCTCAAGGATCAACTAGACATCGTGACTGTGCCGCTAAATGCCCGTCGAAACAGGTACTGTGCCGGAACTCCGTCTTGCTCGTTTCCAACCCCTTGCTCCGCTCTCCCCGCCTTGTGCCTCGCTCTCCCCCATCCGCCCCCCTCTCATCCCACCAGTACAAGTTCGAGGGGCGCATGACGTGCAAGTTCCTGGACTGCAAGTGGGGCGAGCACAGGGCGCGCTGGCAGATGGCGCGTGTATCTGACAAGGCCGCCACGACTCAGGAGATTCTGCAGCTGTTTCGGGAGATAGAGCGTGCACACCTGCACAGGTAGGTGGGGGCTGAGCTGGTAAACTGAGTGACTGCTGCCAAGGAGTTTAGATTGAGTCATTTTGGGAGGCCGTGTGTGGTGATGTGCAGTTGTGTGCGGCTGTGTGCGGCTGTGTGCGGCTGTTTGTGGTTGTGTGTGTACATGCAGCATGGCACCCTCGTACGCGCGCTGAGGTGCTTTTTTTAGCTGACCTTGATTCCTTTCCTCCCCAGGGTGACCAAGGTAGCGGTGCAGGAGAAGAAGGCGGAGTTGGAATCGGTGTGAGGGCATGTGTACTCTGCAGAGGTGGTCGCCTCGCCAGCATGTTGCGGGAGAAGCCCCTTCCTCCGCTTCACCCTGCCACGCCTCCCCCCCAACCTCCCCAACCCCCCCAGGGTGACCAAGGCAGCACTGCAAGAGAAAATAGCGGAGCTGGAGTCGGTGCGAGGGTATGTGTACTCGGCAGAGGTGGTGGCGCGAGCATGCTGCAGGAGAAGCCTTACCTCTGCCTCGCCCCACCACCACACCTCCGCTTCACCTCGTCACCCTCCCCAAACCCCCACCCCCCTCCCCAGGGTGACCAAGGCAGCGGTGCAGGAGAAAAAAGCGGAGCTGGAGTCAGTGAGGGGTTATGTGTACTCGGCAGAGGTGGTGGCGAGCATGCTAAGGGAGAAGCGAGCAGCGGCGGCGAAACCGAAGCTGGTGGTGATGGAAAGGGAGAGGGTGCGACTGGATATAGCCGCTGCTGAACAGAGGGGGGACTTGGGAGCGGTCGAGCAACTCAAGGCAGAGGTGAGAAAGGGTGAGGGATTGGTGTTGAAGGTGCTGGTGGTGGCGCGGCCGAAGCTGGTGGTGATGGAGCGGGAGAGGGTGCGACTGGATATAGCTGCCGCTGAGCAGCGGGGGACCTGGGACTCGTGGAACAACTCAAGGCGGAGGTGAAGGGGGGAGGAAGAATGGGCGTCTCGACTTGTCTGCCCCCTTCTTCCATGCATCAGTGTGACCCATGCTGCTCTAACATGCGTCATCGTTACATGTGTCACCCGGTTACCATCGCCCCCACCTAACCCTGCCACCAGTTGGAGAAGCTGGAGAGGATAGGGGAGGACAAGGGCGAGGCGAACAAGGGCAGGCGAGAGGTGGACCTGGCTAGGATGAACAAGCGCAACCGGCAGGAAAACTTTCGAACCGCCACCAACGCCCCTGCTGGTGCCACAGGTGGGTAGAGTGGCCACACAGCTGTGTAGAGTGGCGACACAGGTAAGTTGCTCCCCTTGCGTGCCACACGTAAGGATGAACAAGCGCAATTGGTGGATGCTCTCTCAGAACTACTACAAGAGCCCTGCCGCCCCCTCTGCTGCCAGTGCGCCCTTGTTTTCTCAGTATGTCTGCCATCTTTCAACCTTCGTCCCTTTTACAGAGACCAAGACTGGAGAGGCGGCTGTGGATCCCTTCATTCGCAGGTGGACGCGCTCTCAGAACTACTACAAGAGCCCTGCCGCCCCCTCTGCTGTCCCCACCCTGCCGCCTCCACTGCTGCCGCCACCCTACTGCCAACACTGCTGCACCCTTGTTCTCTCAGTCGGTCAACTGTCCCTCTGCCCCTACCCCTCCAACAGAGACCAAGACAGGAGAGGCAGCTGTGGATCCTTTCATTCGCCGGTGGACCCGCTCTCAAAACTACTGCAAGAGCCCTGCCGCCCCATCTGCTGCCGCTGCTCCCCCTGCTGCTGCACTTTTTCCCATCCCCATCAGGCTGAGGTGATATCTGCTTCGTCTTAACAAACATTTTGTTTCTCATTGCGCCGCCTTTCTTCCAACAGAGACCAAGACCGGCGAGGCGGCTGTGGATCCTTTCATTCGAAGGTGGACGCGCTCCCAAAACTACTGCAAGAGCCCTGCCGCCCCCTCTGCTGTCCCCACCCTGCTGCCACCACTGCTGCACCCTTGTTTTCTCAGTCGGTCAACTGTCCCTCTGCCCATACCCCTCCAACAGAGACCAAGACTGGAGAGGCAGCTGTGGATCCTTTCATTCGCCGGTGGACCCGCTCCCAGAACTACTACAAGAGCCCTGCCGCCCCCTTGTGTCCTCATGCTGTCAACTGTCCATCCACCCTCACCCCTTTTAAACAGAGACCAAGACAGGAGAGGCGGCTGTGGATCCCTTTATTCGCCGGTGGACCCGCTCCCAAAACTACTACAAGAGCCCCGCCGCCCCCTCTGCTGCTGCTGCTCCCTGGTCTGATGACGAGGACGAGGGTGCTGGCAAGGATGGGGGAGGGAAGAGCAAGGACGGGAAGGGTAAGGATGGCAAGGGCGAGAAGGGGAAGGAGGGAAAGGATGCGGATGGGAAGGGTGGAGGAGTGGAGGAGGAGGAGAGGGAGAAGGAGAAGGAGAAGGAGAGGGAGAGGCAGTTGGGGAGCTGGTTGGGGCAGCAGTTGGACGAGCGGGCAAAGCAGGTGCTGCGGAAACACGCCTTCGACATGGACATAGATCTGAGTGTGGTGGACAAGTGGGGGGGAGCAGGGGCAGCGGCGGCGGCGCAGAGGGGGAGTGTGGGGCCGGCGGTATGGGAAGCGGCGTTTCTGGCACGCAAGAGGCAGCAGGAGGCGCTGTATGGGGCGCCGATTGGCGTGGCTGTTGGGGAGACCCCGCGGGGGCTCAGGCTGCTGACTCTTAGCGAGTATAAGCGGCGGCGAGGGCTGCCCTGTGACTGAACTGAACAAGGATTTGTGGTGAGAAGGGTCTCAGAAATAGAATGCAACGGAATGGTTTGGGACTAGCAAGATGGGATACAAGTACTCAACCCTAAAAAGGGCTGTACTCCCTCGAGTGCTACTCACTGTAGCCTAAGAACCTATAATAACATTTGACACACCCCCATAGGCTAAGTGAGGTGAGGGGCATCAAAGCAAGCAGGGTGAACAAACGGTCACAAGACCTGTCAATACAAGAAGCAAGGCAAGCTTAGGGTGGATCTCAAGGACACTGCACAAATTTTGAGCACAAGCAAGTGGCCACAAGGCCAGTTCAAGAGTTCACTAGGATATATAGCAAAGCCCAACAAGCAGAGCAAACAGCAAGTCTACCTCAACAAGCCCCAACTGCGCACAGAAATTGTGGTGGTCACCAGGCGCCAAGGCCTTGGTGAAGACGTCGGCAATGTTGGCCTCTGGGGCCACAAAGTCCAAGCGTGCCTGGCCGCGTCGCTGCAACTCCCGCAGGAGGAAGTACCTCACGTCAATATGCTTCACTCTGCTCTCCAGTCGAGGATCTCGACACAGGAGGATCATGGCCTTGTTGTCAGCGTACAAGGTCGGTGCAGAGCGAGGCCGCTCACCAAGGTCGGCGAGCAAGAAGGTCAACCAGCGAAGCTCCTGTGCCGCCATGGCACCAGCGTAGATCTCAGCCTCTGCACTGGGCGAAGCCACAGACGACGACCATGTAGACCTCCACGACACAGCACCAGCACCCAGACTGAAGCGGTACCCCTGAGTCGAGCGCTGATTCTCCACGTCGTCAGCGTAGGAAGAGTTGCAGTGACCGGTGAACACAACTGGCTGCGTCCCTCCAAGCACAAGCCCCATGCCTGATGTAGTCGCCAGGTACTTCGCCACCATCACAGCAGCTGTCCAGTAAACTGGACGGTGTCTCCCAGTCGCAACAAAGCGAGAGAGGACGCTGAGGGGAAAAGCGAGGTCCGGCGGAGTACAAGTCATCAGGTACATGAGGCAGCCCACAAGATCTGCGTAGGGACCACTATACTCAAAAGGCTCGTCGGGAAAAGGGCCAGTGAGTCGGTGGTCAACGACAAGAGGAGTGGGCTGTGTGGTGGAGAACTGAAACCCGAACCGCTGAAGGACCTGTAGCACCATGTGTGACTGAGTCAGTGTGATGGTGCGAGCGGCTCTGTCCCTGGTGATCTGCAGGCCAAGGTAGTGCTGCAGTTCATCAAGGTCAGTGCACGTGTGTCTCTTCTGCAGTTCGGACTTCACCTCAGCCAGAGCTGCCCTGTCTCCTGTAGCAAAGACCAAGTCGTCGACGTACACTAGTATAAAGAAAGGAGTGGAACCAGTGCGAACAAACAGCGACGGGTCGGCAGAGGAAGGACAAAACCCAAGGTCACGAAGCGTGGAGCGAAGAGTGTCGTGCCACTCATGGGGCGACTGGCGGAGACCGTAGACTGGCCGCCGCGGGCTCCACTGGGTCCCAGGTGGGAAGGTGTCAGTGAAGCCAGGAGGACAGCGCAGCCAGATCTCCTCATGTAGTCGGCCATGGAGAAACGCAGTGGAGAAGTCAAAGGAGTGCAGCTCGTAGTCTTGTTGTGCTGCTACGTGCAGTAACACCCGAAGAGTAGTCATCTTCGGGGTCGGGGCGAAGGTCTGGAAGAAGTCAACTCCCTCACGCTGACTAAAACCCCTAGCCACGTAGCGCGCCTTGAACACAGGCGGTGAACCAGGCGGCCGATTCACCTTGAAGAGCCACATGCCATCGACAACGTTCGCCCTGGGAGGGGTAACTGTGTCGACGTACATGCCTGTGGATCTCCAAGACGCTAACTCTGCATCCATAGCCGCTTTCCACTGAGAGGCCCACTTCCCTGACACTACCTCACGGTACGTGCGATGTGTCGGTATGTCAAGAGCGTCGGGGTCTCCCTCAAGGGAAAGTAGCATGGCGCAGAGAGAGGGGGAAGCGACTGCTAAGAACTCCAGGTCAAACTGCCTGTCCTCTAGGACGTCACAGCCAAGGGCAGACTCACCCCCGACAGACAGAGGACGGGGAGGTGGAGCAGCCACCACACGCGTGGCGTAGTCAAGACGGCGGGTGGGAGCAAAGTCAGCGACAGCGGCAGTAAGAGCCGAGACAAACGACGGAGAGGCACGAGGGTCGGTGACAAGAGAGGCGAGAACACGGGAGACAACAGGGCGAGCAGCACGGTAGTAGTCAGTGATAGGGTGAGAGGAAACGGTGAGAGACAACTCAAGAGGTGAGGGGAGAACAGACATAAGCGGAGAACGACGAGGAGGAGAACGAAACAAGACAGTGCGCAGGTCGGCAAGATGCGACGAGGGCCGAGCACGCAGAGGACAACAACTGGTTCAGTCGTGCGGGACAACATGAGGAGACGACCGTGACTGAGGAGGAGAGAAAACAGCCGGAGTCGAGTCCGGAGGAGGAAATGTAGGAACGTACGCACTAGGTGACTGGGAGTGGACAGGAGGAGAGGAAGGAAGACCAAGGGCCCGAAGGCCACTCATTGGAGGGAGCAGCTGCTACAAAAGTGGCGGCTGCGGCGTCTGCTGCTGCTGCTGTGGCTGTTGTTGCTGCTGCTGCTGCTGCTGATGGTCCAACTGCTGCAGCTCCTGCCTCTCCTGCTCCACCCGCTCCTGCTCCTCGCGCTCAAGCCAGCGAAGAGCCTGGAAACGTGTGTCGTAGCGGTGAGGAGGCATAGTAGGCGTGCCTCCAGCTCCTGTCTCCTCAGTACCATCTCCTATAGTGCCAGCACCTCCTGCTCCAGCACCTCCAGAACTAGCGCCAGCACCTCCAGCTCCAGCACCCCCAAAACTAGCGCCACATGCGCCAGCACCTCCAGCTCCAGCACCCCCAGAACTAGCACCTCTAGTGCCAGAACCTCCAGCTCCAGCACCCCCAGAGCTAGCGCCACCTGAGCCAGCACCTCCAGCTCCAGCACCCCTCGAACGAGCACCCCCAGACCGAGTACCGCCAGTGGCTGCACCTCCAGCTCCAACACCAACCGAGTCCATAGTAACCTGTCGCGGAAGTGCCAAAGGCTGCTGAGGGGACTCCGAGGAGGACTGCGGGGAGGGAGACGCTACCTGACGCGCGACCGAGGGTAGAGGGGTAGCGTGAGACACACCTGAAAGGGCAGGTTTAGGGGGGGGTGAGGGGACCGGAGGACCAGGAGTAGGGGGGAGAGAGGGTGCGAGGAAGAGGGGGGGAGGGGGAACCGGGAGACCTCGACAGGGGTACCGGGTGTAGTAGGACACGGACTCGTCAAACCGGACGTCACGAGAGTCGAGAAACTGGTGGAGGGGCGGGTGGTAAAAGGAGTAGTCTGGAGAGCCCACTGGGAAACCAAGGAAGACATAGGGGATGTCGCGAGCCGAGAGCTTGTCTGGAGAGGTGCCGCGGACAAGCGCAAGGCAGCCCCAGACGTGAAAGGCCGACCCAACACCAAGGGACCCAGTCCAAAGACTGGTCGGTGAAACCTCTGGCCGCGAGACACGCGGCTGGAGGTTCAGCTAGTGCGCGGCGTAGCGCAGCGCGTAGGGCCATAGAAAATGGGGCGCACGGGCATGGATCATGGACGTGCAGGCGATGTCCATGACCAAGCCAACGCGGCGCTCAGCAACCCCATTCTGCTGTGGGGACTTCGGCAGCGTCCAGGACTGTCTAATGCCTTGCTCGCCGCAGAACCCGGCAAGGACGCCGGAGCGAAACTCACCCCCACGGTCGGAGTGGAGACAACGGACACGACTACCACGAGTGCCCTCAGTGGCCAGAAGCCACTGGATCAGCGTAGAAGTCACTTCTTCGCGAGAGGAAACACCGTGGTGTACCTGGAGTAGTCGTCAACGATCAGTAGAAAGTAGCGCTCCCTCTCGGGTCCCAGCTAGGGGGCAAGGCCCCAGACGTCCAAGTGGAGAGTCTGGAATGGAGCAGTGGCCGGACGAAGAGAGGAGGAGTGCGGAGTGGCGCGCAGGCGGCCGGCGACGCAAGGAGTGCAAGGTGGAGCAAGCGAGGAAGGGAGCAACGGAAAGACGCGCGGGAGACCTGAGACTAGACTGTGATTAGCCATGCTGTGGAGGCGAGGGATCGACGGGTGGCCAAGACGGTGGTGCCACAAGACAGTCGGGTGGGCGAGAGACCGACAGGAGCAAGACGCAGCAACCTGACTAGACGCAGCAACCTGACTAAATACAACAACCGGAGGGGACACAGTAACCTGACCATATTCTGCTGTCAGAATGTTATGTTTTGTCTAGCCTGCAGTGGGGTACTCAATAGTGAGTACAGCCCAATTTAGGGTTTGCTATATGTACTCAACTGCTTGCTAGTGAAACCCCTCTTCCTCTCTTTCTCATTTCTAACTTCCTTTGGTTTTTCACATCTGCTACCTGGGGGGACGCAGTCACTTGACCGGACTCTGCTACCTGGGAAGACGTAGTGTGCAGAACAAAGAGACCTGAGAGGGGCTCCCCGGTGAACGTGGCAAGAAGTGCCCCGGTGGAAGCGTCAGTACAGATCGCCGTCCTCCCGTGCGCAGGAAAAGTGATTGTGATCCCACCGTCCTGAAGGTATCCAGCACCTACCAGGTTCCAAGAGAACGAGGGGATGTAGAGACCAGTGAGGAAACTAGAAGGGATAGCCGGGCACGGGAGAGTGGTCGAGCTGCGAGCGACTGCTGGTCCTGAACTAGGATCAGCCAGGGCAACTGGGACTGGAGCCGAAAGAGGTGTGACAGTGGTGTGGTCGCGGAAGAAGCACTGCGACGCGCGTGAGTCCAACGTGAAGGAGAGCGACGTGACAGCAGTCGTCACGGCTGGACTAGTGACTACACAAGCACCTACACTAAAAGCACAAGTACTTACACTAGCAATAGGCAAAGAGCCTAAGCTGGGTACATGCAAGCCAAGAGACCCATACGTGACAGAATAAACAGCATCCATAGACATATCAAACACACGGTAAC